GAAGCAAAGCCGTGAAGTGCTTCGAATTCGGCTTCTTCACCTTTTTCGACAGCTGTTCGAAAGCCTCTTCGGATTTTTCCACCCTCTTCAGCTGTCCCCATGCTTTGATTGCCGTTAAGCACTCGACGATTCGCGGGTTTTCTTCGCAGACTTTCCATATTCGCTCGACTTGGGCCTCCTGGCCCAAAGAGGCGTAGATTGGCATCAGCCAATGGCAGGCCCATCGGTTTTTTTCTAATCCTTCGCCTTCGATTTCCTTTAATATGGCCTCTGCTTTGTCTTTGAGCCCGTGTTCTGCATAGTGGCGGGCCATGGATGCTTGGATCTGTGTGTTGAGTTCGACCCCATCAGCTTTCATCTGGGCCACAACTTGCTCCATGGCAGGAATATCGTTCGACTGGCCTTTTACGTCGATAAGGATTTGGTAAGTGAAGGCGGAGGGTTTAATGTTTTCTTTCTCCATTAAGAGAAGGACATCGGCTATTTTTTTCTTGTCCGTGCGTTTGTAGAGGAGAAGGAGCTGATTGCAGGAGAAGCAAGTGACGGGCAAGCCAAGGGTTTTCATCTTGTTGAAAGTTTCCTCGGCTTTCTTGACGTGATTGGCCGAGACGCAGTTGGCAAGAAGGGTACGGTAGACGAGCTCGCCTCTGTTGGGTTGTGGGATCTTGCTGATGTAGTCTTCGGCTTTGTAGATGCCGCGTGATTTGGCAATCAGGTCGACTCGAGAGGCGTAGTTTTTGTCGGAGAACTCAAAGTGTTTTCTCGATTCAAGCCATTCAGACAGCTGCAAATGTGGACACGGGCAAAAAAAAATGGAAAAAAGAAATAAAGTTGTTAACTGAAGTTTTTTTCAGGGGAAATAAATGTTTTTCTTTTCCTGGATCAATTAGTTTGTTTTCAATTAGATATAAAAAGATTTGGGTGTGGATGATTAAACGAAATAGGACGCGAAGCATTCGAAAGCAGCGAAATTGTATATGAAGCATAACGGATGAAGTATAGAAGTCGAATTTTTAAATGAAAGGCTGGTACTTGGTAACAGCCTACGATATAACTGTGCAACAACAATGGCTAAATACTCACAGGCAAACAAGAATTCTCATATACATGGTCATGGGATAGATAAATGCTAATCTAACTGACTAAGAATTCGTTAGCACAAGCAAGAAATCCCAAATCCATCAAATGACATAAGACACTGCGCTGCATCTAGCGTGTGATTCCAAGTCGTTAAGTACCTGAATTGACTACAGATCAAAGGCTTTCCCCACCAATTTTGATACATTGAACATATAAAAGAAGAAGAAGGTGAGAAGGAATTGATGAAGCTAATTCAATCGATTTTTCACGATAAGGTACAACAAAGCCAAGAGAAAAAAATAAAAATAAACCAACAAGTTCCATAAGAGAAGAAGGATTAGAGGGATCACCTCCAAGGCCTTGCCGAACAATCTCCTTTTCCGAAGATGAAGCATGGTTAATGCAGCTTCGGTTTGGTTCACCTCATTTCCTTCCCCAACCCATTCATCCAGAGCCTTGCTCAAAGGCATACTACTGGGTGCATCTAGAATAGTCTTAGTCATTGCTGATAAAGCTCTTTTCTTAGACGAGTTCTTTTCTGCAACATCGCCTAATGCTTCCAGCTCAGTCTGCAAATCCTCCTCTTCAGATAGATCCGACTTTGCAAGATCATCATCAGCATCTGCAGAATCAATTGGAGCTTCGAGTTCGGAAAAACCATCGTCCAAGTCATCATCGTCCTCCTGTGTGCTCTTAGCCCCGGATGCAAAAGAGCGGATTCCCATGTTCGACTTTGGTAAAGCAGATGATGTGTTGAAGAATCTTGCGGAAGTTTGAAATACATTAAGTAATTTTTCTTGCGGCTCAATAACTCCAGCATGGTAATTTTCTGAAAGGCTTCTTGCTACATCAGATTTCTCACAGAAAACTCGACCAGTCCCTGAGCTCAATCCTTGCTTTCTGAAATGAAAACATAAAAGTATCTCACCTTTAGCTTATTGTAGAAAGAGGACCAAACGAAGAGCAATAAAATTCTCTGACTACATTCGGAGTAATACCCAAACACTGATAGGTATGAGTATCGCATATAGTAACAACCCAACAATTACAGCAACAGCAAGCCAACTAAAAAATTACAGTAAGCTCCACAGTATTCAGAAATCATCATCACGCAACTCAAGAAGTGAAATTTAAACTCCAATAAAAGCATATATAGCTGAGATATATTCTACAGTTTCTTCTTGCTCACTAAACATTTAATATTTGTTTTATGTTGAAAGCACACAACACATCGTACGGACGCCAAAATACAGAATTGAGCACATCAGTAGTATATGATGTATAAAACAGAAATAAACTAATTCTTAATCTGTTGAAGCTTTTCCTCGAGAACCAGTAAATGAATTCTCACGCTACTTATACCAAACCAAACAGTTGTACCAAGGCAAATGATTTTTTTTAAGCAATATAGATTCATCAGTAAAGGACTAATTACCCGATACGAGAAGAAGCTCTGCGAAGTGCCCACATCCTGATTATCTGCAATATCTAATCTTGGGAGAAATGTTGGTGGTGAGGAGTGACTTGAGGAAGGTGAGCGTATATAGCAATAGAGCGCAGGTCCCTAAAACCCTAAACCCTAAAACCTTTTGTGGGGAGTACAAATTTCACACAGCTCCCTATATTTTAAGATACTCTCGTTTTGGGGTATTGGAGTTTGTTAAATTACAGATTAGTACGGTTTTGAGCTGCTGTTGACTCATGGTTAGGTAAGGTAATTGATACTTATGAGTTATGACTTGTTTGCTTGTTTCAACCAAGCTAGTTAAACTTGGTCAGATTTCGATTACAATTTTGTATTCCAAAATTAACAGTCAAGTTGATAAATAAAATTCACTTGCATAACCGTTCTTAGTGTTATACTTCACTTAATACAAACTAGTACAGAGCCCGTGCGATGCACGGGATGCACAATTTTAAGGCTATTTATTCAGACTTATAATTATATATATGAATAAAAAAAAATGTACGGAATATATATAGTACGTGACCCGCGAGATATATTTATTTGGATAATATTATATTATAAGATACAATATTCAATAAAAGTTTATAATACGCAAGAAATTGTACGATGTTCAATAAAAATTTTATAATATTCAAGTTGAGTCTTAAAGTCTCTTGTACATTAAGACTACTGACAAAATAATATTTTAATCAATGAGTTTCATTTCCTTGTAGCCAAATTGTGAATGTGATTTGAGGAGTACAACAAATCGATATATAGTTGACTTGTTTTTTTCATTGTAGTTTTTTTTTCTTTTTTTTATAATGAATTTAAAGATATTCTAAAATATAACAAAAATTAATTTTTTTATTACAATTAGGAATTTTAATAAATATAAACTCTCAATCTATGGTGTTAATCAACGTTTAAGTCTAAAAAATTAGGAATTTTTACCTCTTTTAATCAACGTTTAAATCTAAAAAACAATAGAGTTATTATAAGTTTTTTTTCTACATCTTTTAAAACATTAAATATGAGCATGTTAGGGTTAGCTTGTAAAATAATTAATATATTATCTCACTAAAATATTTATACTAATAAAAATTTAATTTTAGCATATAAATTTATCCCTTGATATAAGAGAAAGTAACAGTTTTACTTATTGTTGTTCACCATATAATATTTAATTATTATTTTATTATATAATAAAAAATGAATATGGTTAAATAGTGTAGTAGAATTGTTATAAAATTATATGAATTTTTTTTTTTACAATATGGATTTAATATTTTGTATGATTTGATAATATAAACAAATCTATACTTAATTTTGACAAATAAAACAAATAAATACTTTAGTAAGTATTTAATGTATATACTAAATAGGAATATATTTGGTATAATCAAATACCAAATATAATCAAATAAGTCAAAGTGTACATTTTTATTTAGTATTTAATTTTTTTATTATTAAAATCTTTTTATTATACTTACCTTTTTAAAAGAAAACAAATAAATAAATCAATTAAATAAATAAAATATTATAATACCAAAATAGTAATGACATTTAATGCAGTTGACTTTTCTGGATAATAAATGTAGTAAATAGAATATCCTTTTATATAATATAATACGGAAATAGTAATACAATAAATGCTGTTGACTTTTCTGGCTACTTAATTTGGTAAATAATATTCCCTTTAATATAAGTATAGATGAATACCTGATACTTTTTGTTTAATACAAGGAAAAAATAATAAATAAATCAACAAAGCAAATGATCAAACAATATTTGGTATGTGTGTTATAGTCTAAATTACTATATTACTATATCTATATTTAAACTAATGTATCATGTACACAAAGGTTATATAGTTATTGAAAAATGATGGGTATTTGTTAAATTACTTGTGATTATTTTAGGGACTAAAATTCTCGATATTGTGTTAAAATTTATAAGGTTAAATTAAAAAACACAGTTACTTTAGGAGTTGAAAATTATATTTTATTTATTATTTTTAATGGTCAATCAAAATAAATATGGTAATCGGTCCAGATCGGCCCGTCAAACCAACAGAATGTGACCGTTGACCCATGCCTTAGATCCGTTAATTCATGTTTCAGCCTCGGGTCGAGTCTAAAATATTTTTCGTCATTAGGTACGAGCCCAGTCTAAAAGCAACTAGGCCCTTGGCCATCTATATTTTTTTGGTCCATTTACATATTTACTACATCATAAACGAAAAATAATAAGAAGTGACAAGGATAAATTGCAAATCATCCATTCATAAATCATAAAAATTAGTCCATTTGTAACTAAAACAAAAAATTCATAAACGTGTAAATAAATAAGGTTTTGAAGATTAACGGGATAGTGTTCTTAAGCCATATATCTGCTCTTGGGCCCCCATACTTATGGGCCAGAAAACCTTTAAAAAGCTTGGCAGCTCAAGCCCATCAATTACACCCCTAACAAAGAAAAAAAAAATTATTTCGTCCTCCTCCATTTTAGCTCTCAGTATAATCAATAACCTATCGATTTTTTTCACTCTGCTCTCTTTTGTAAGCACTCGCAAATCGAAGCTTGTTTCAATCTATGGTTGACGCCTGAAAGTTGAAGGAAAGCGCGTGGAAAAGATAGGTTATCCCTGAAATTACACGCCTCAAATTGTGTGTTTATGTGTGTGTGGATACGCGTACATGATTTTGCCGCTTTACATATGAATTTGTTTTTTTCTTTTATTTACTCTTCTGGCATATGTAGGTTTTTGGTGGGTTTGATTGTTCAGTATTTTCGTTGTGAACTTAGAAATCATTATTCATTAGGGTTTATGTCTAATTAGGCCTTTGGTTTTGAGTTAGGTGAGCATGGATTCGAACGGGAGAGAAAATTTGGACTCGAAGGCTGAATTTCGGAAGCCTTTGAATGACTCGGCTAATAGGAAGTACCGGCGTAGATCTTCGGTGGCTGGGTCATCGTCCTCATCTGATGGTAATTTCCTTGGAATGTTCATTTTGTTTTTATGAATCCTGGTATAGCTTTGACTTTATAAATTACTGCTTAAGAATCCTGGTATAGCTTTGAGTTTGTTGTGGGTATATTGGATGTAATGCTGGTATTGGTTGTATCTTTATAGTCTATTATTATTAATAACTTTCATTGTATTCTGCCTCAGTTATGATTTATGGTTTGCTGTTAGCAGCATTTATTTGGTCCCTTGTATTGCTTATAAAATTATGCTTGAATTGTTTCTGCGAAACTTGTATGATGCTAATGTACAATCCACATTGTGTTTCTGCCTGTACTCAAAGATGTTACTAAGCTCACTTAACTGATGACTATTACAAATTGAAAGGCCATATTCAACATTCAATCGTGAATAGTTTGTTGTGTCCTATGTGATGTGTATTGAGTTATATGCCTTGTGCTATGATTATATGAATGGACTGCTTCAGCTATATGTGCAAATTGGGCAAATATGATTTTTAACTGTAATCATGCCTTATCATATCTCTTCAAAAATTATAACTTCCTGAATTATTTTTCATTTATATTTTCTATCTTGATTGTAATTAACCATTCTTTTACTCCCATAGCTTCTTTTACATGTATTCAGGAAGTCCACCACGTGACCGCAACTCGAGTCTGGTCCAATTGAGAAAGGATATAACAAAATTTGATGATGATGATGATGAAAGAAATAGGGACAACACTAGGGATCGACAGTCATCTAGGAGGTATCACAGGCATGACGATCACATCAGGAGTGATAGACGTGTGGATGACTATGATCGAGGTTATTCCAAGTCATCCTACCATTATAGATTGGGCTTGCGAGATAAAAACAACTCAAATTACTCGAGGTCCGATAAGGAGCTCCCATCTAGACATTGCGTGAAAGATGTGGACACGAACTCTCATGGGAAATCTGATGGTTTGGGGCATAGAAGTAGGGATAAGAACTCATATGATCGGGCTGGTTTTGATAATCGGCATGCAAATATTGAGAAAAAGGATAGCGATCCAGACAGAGATGATAGGAGTGACCGATATGGAAGGATGGATTATAGAAAGAGTTCAATGGATTACAAAGGTGATCGTTTGCCTGCTTATGAAGAGTCAAGGGACCAAATAAATGATTATTCGTCACGAAGGGAAAATTCTGGACGTCGTTTAAAGGAATCCTCTTCAAGATACTCCAAGGAAGTCAGATGCAAATGTGGATCTACCCGGGAAAAAACTCAACATTTTCCGTTTGATGGTTCTTTGAAAATCCTATCTCGATCTCCAGGTCTTCATAAGGTGCAAGATAGTAGAGATACGAAGGAGGATTCAGGTGTTTGTCCAACAAGGGTGAAGAAGCTGTCACTAAGAAGGCGAGGATTTAGCATGGAGAGCACTGCTACTGGCCCAGATGGTATGTTTCCATTTTCTACTGTAGTGATGTGCTTTCTGTTCTGTTTTTCGTGTTTTGATATCATTTTTGGAGAATTGTCCAACAGGTTCCTTCCGAGAAGGCTTATGTGACAGATTCTGATATTGATGCTGTGAAAATTGCTGCTATGAAAGCTGTTGAATTAGGTAGGTAAATGTATCTCTCGTGTTTTTTTTTTTTTTCCTTTCAAGTTTGAGTAGTGTTTATTGTGTAGTTGTGACTTATACCAGCTGAAGTTGAAGTACAGCGAGAATTCTTTAACATGATTTCACATGAGATGGTTTGTATGTGATGATGAACTCATTAGTTTTTTGTTGTGGACTAATTTACTTCTTCAACTTCGATGCAATGTTTGAACGAACGCACAGTTAACAAGAACTTGAGTGGAACTGGATACATGATACATGACCGCTGATCAAAAGAAGAAGCTCTTGTGGGGAAACAAGAAGAACACTGCTACTGAGGAGGTATTCTTAAATCATTGTTATAACTTATAAGATCCATTTTATCCACAAGCACTTTTTTCTCCTGAACATAAACAAGTAGATATGAGATACACCCACACGCACACACACACACAAACAAACAAATAAACGGGTTTTGATTATCGATTACAAGTGTGCCCGACCTGACTTCATACCAACTATATTCTGCATAGATTATCATTTTTATTTGAGACGCTTCGCGTGATTTACGTTCTCCTTTATGTTTTACTTCATGTTATACAATACTCCGTATAGCCTGCTCACCGTTGGGACACAACAACATTTGGCGACCGTGAACGACAAGAAAAATTCAACAAACTCATGGTAATCTTCCTTGTCCGTTGCTCTATTTCCATCTAAACCACATATAGGCTGTGTTCAGTAAGCATATAAGCTAACTTATAACTTATTTGATTAGTTTATATGTTTAATGTATTCAAATAAGTTTGGTTTGGTAGGACGAGCTTATCTCATAAGCTTCCTTGAGCCGATTGAAATTTTTATTTCAGCTAGCTTTTCAACTAATTTTACCCATCATTTTTATCTTATAAGCTAACTTTTCAGCCATTAGTCATAACCTATCAGCTATAAGCACGAAATTCACTTAAAAGTTATAAGCTAGCTTATTAGTTAGGTTTACCAGACATACCCATAATCCATGAAACTATATGCACAAAGCTCCTCGTAACTTACATTTATCCCACTACACACATACTAACATTGTTTTTGAGTCTGAGGTTGGGTTGGGTGCCTATGGCGAATTGTAGGGCGTGAAGGGGGACCCTAAGGTGGAGTCCAAGCTGTACGACCCGGATGTCGAGAAGGAACGGGAGCAGCTTCAGGTGGAGTTGGAGAGACAGTACACGGCCGGTTTGCGCCGGCGAGATGGCCGGACAGTTGGCCTCGGTCTTTAAGATTACTTTGTCCGTTATTTTCGTGTTTGTGTTGTTGTTATTGTACTTTGGATGTTTGTGTGTTAGGAAAACTATCTTCTTGTGTTAGACTTGTTATTTGATCATGACTTGCAACGTAGCTGGATGTTTGACTTAAAGTGGGATTATCAAGTTTGTGGTGTGTATTGGAAAAGTGAAATTTTACGCGTTTTGCTTGATTATGGCATGCGTAAATAGTATACTTTCAAATGAATTTAGTATGAGGTTAATTGAACAAAAGGATATATTGTTCAAAAATAACATGCATAACTGAGGAGTTGAGGTTAAGAGTAGCAACGTATTGATAAAAGTAGGCGAGGCGAAAATCGCGGATTTCGGTTGCGCCAAGCTGGCGGATGATGTGGCGGCGGTGATCGGTGGCACGCCGCTCTACATGTCGCCAGAAGTTGTTCGTGGGGAGGATAACAAAATGAAATCATGAAAAGTATAGATGCAAGTTTATAGAATTTTACTAGTTGCATGTCAATAAATGATTAATCAAAATTGATCATAACTATAAAAGTTATGGAATTGACTATTAAATTTATAACTTAGTAAAATTTATATTTAAGTAAGTTCGGTTTGGTAAGGTTGCAAAGTTGAAGGATAGTCAATTTTTTTGATGAACATTAATAATTTTAATTTTGATTTCAACTATTTATCGATCAATTCTATCAAATATTTTTCTATACCAGCTAGTTTTTCAATGATAAGCTTTAAATTTACTTATTAGTTATCAATTAATATATCAACTAAAAGATTGAATTTCACTTATAAATTATCAATTAATATATCAACTAAAAGATTGAATTTCACTTATAAATTATCAACCAACCTTCTTATGAGACATAAAAAGTCTACAAAATATTGTGGATTTCAGAGGTACACTAAAATAAAATATTGTGGATTTTAGTAATTCTTGAAATTACTTAAATAAATTAGAGGATTTTAAAGGTAACCTAAAACAAATTACCGTGGATTTTATATGAGACAAAATTAATATTAAAAAAATCATTACTTCGTAAGGTAAATNCCTGCCCCTTCATCTACTTCCAGGTGACAACATGCTCTCTGATTTCTATGGATTTTTTTTTTTTGAGTGGATTTTGTTGAAATGTGCTTGCATTGACTGCGAGCCTAGCTTCAAGATTATAAGTTCTTATGATTCGATCGATTCGGTTTTGATAGATATTTTTTAGATTCTCGCATTGCTTCCTGCAATCCTATTGCTTACCAAACGGATGTTCGTTGAATACTTTAGCGAATTGTATGCTTGATGCTGCAAAAGTTTTGATGAATTGATGATATAACTCACCCATGTTCTTGATCCGCAGATGCGCCTTTTTGCTGCTCAATCACAGTATGCTGATCGGCTTGCTGATGCTGTATGTACTCCTTGTTTTTCCATAAACCATTTGTGAATATTTGGTTAGACATCATATTTGTCTGTCGGGCTTAAAGGTTCCGAACAGATACAACATTCGTTGATACCAAATGCATCCAACCACAGCTTTTCTGTTGCTTTATTAGTCATTGTCTCTGTCCTGTGTAAAATGTAGGTACTGATGTTACTGTTTTTGTAACTATCAAGTGCAGTGAGTTTGGTTGTTTCGTGGTGTAACGAAACCTATAAAAGCTAAAAAAATACCATCTTTTCATGGAAACAGTTAACACATTTTTTTTTTTACTTAAAATCATGCAGGGTTTTGACATAATTGTATCATATAGCGACCCTTCTGGTGAAATTCACGTTAGAAGTGTCAAGTCTAAGGACCTATCTGCTTCATGGGTATGGAAAAGGCCCGGAAATGTGAATCACGATCGAACAAGGACCTCCTTGGTGAGTTGCGGCGAATATATTACCGTTTTGAGTCTTTTTCCTCACATTCATAGAAGCCAGGTGTACTTACACCTGTCACCGATTTCTTTTCTCAGATAGTACATGACCCAGTTCAAACTAAGATAAGCTCGAAGAACAATGGTGATGATTCTGGTAGAGATAACTTGTTTGGAGCTGACATACTACAGACACGGGCAAAAATTGTGCATCCTGTGAAACTTAAGAGACAGGTGAAATGTGAAATTCTGTTGAGACATAGCATATTTTGTGTATGGTGTATTTTTCTTAATGCAATAGCCATTCTTGGCTCTTACAGATGCTACGAAGGGAAAGAAGGCGAATGCGCTCTGCGGATCTTATGAAACAAGACAAGAAGATTGATAGCCAGATGCAAGAAGCTGCCATTGAAAGAGCAGCAGAGCTTGATACAACTATCAAGGGTAAATATGGCATATGGAGGAAAGAGTACGAGAACCCCAACTCTGATTCCACAGTGAAACTTATGCGCGATCAGATTATTATGGCAAGAGCTTATGCAACGATTGCCAAGGCTAAGAATGAGACGGCACTTTACGATTCTCTAATTAAACATTCTTTAGAAAGTCAACTTGCTATTGGAGAAGCAACAACTGATGCTGAACTTCATCCAAGGTCTTGCTTGATGAATACTTGTTTAGAGTTGTTAATCAGATATTAGCTACTACTCACTGGTTTTGTGTTTTGTTGTCTGAATCAGTTCACTTGATGGAGCAAAAGCTATGGGTCACATCCTCGCTACAGCAAAGGACCAGTTATATGACTGCATTTTAATAGCAAGAAAGTTGAGAGTGATGCTTCAGGCAAGTGAGACGAGTGTTAATTCTTTGAAGAAGAAAAGTTCGTTTCTGATACAACTAGCCGCCAAAACAGTTCCCAGACCATTGCACTGCATTCCATTGGTTCTCACCACAGACTACTACCTTCGCAAATATGAAGAAAGAGAATTTCCTAACAAAGAGAAACTTGAAGATCCTTCTCTATACCATTATGCCATCTTTTCAGACAATGTACTCGCAACATCTGTTGTTGTGAACTCCACGGTGATACATGCAAAAGAGCCCGAAAAGCACGTTTTCCATATAGTCACGGATAAGCTCAACTTTGCTGCTATGAAGATGTGGTTTTTGGTCAATGCACCTTCTGGTGCAGTAATTCAGGTGCAGAACGTGGATGACTTTAAGTGGCTCAATTCATCATACTGTCCTGTTATGCGCCAACTTGAATCGGCAAGAATGATAGAGTATTATTTCAAGGCACACCAATCGTCATCCCTTATTTCCGGAACTGACAATCTTAAATACAGGAACCCGAAATACTTGTCTATGTTGAATCATCTCAGATTCTACCTTCCTGAAGTTTATCCGAAGCTGGATAAGATATTGTTCTTGGATGATGACATTGTTGTTCAGAAGGACCTTACGCCTTTGTGGTCTGTTGATCTGAAAGGGATGGTGAATGGTGCTGTCGAGACCTGTAAGGAGAGCTTCCATAGATTTGATAAGTATCTCAACTTCTCTAACCCGAAGATATCTTCCAATTTCGACCCTAATGCTTGTGGCTGGGCGTACGGTATGAATATCTTCGATTTGAGAGAATGGAGAAAACGTGACATTACTGGAATTTACCATCGTTGGCAGAACATGGTAGGTGCACCATTAATCAAAGAAAAAAGAAATTAAATGGAAAATGCTTTGACGCTAATATATTTTTAAATTGTTTTTGTGACAGAATGAAGACAGGACTCTTTGGAAACTCGGAACACTTCCTCCAGGATTAATAACTTTCTACAAATTAACACACCCACTGGATCGAAGCTGGCATGTGTTGGGATTGGGATATGATCCTGCCCTTAACCAAACCGAAATCGACAATGCTGCAGTTGTTCATTATAATGGAAACTATAAACCATGGTTGGATCTTGCCATTGGGAAGTACAAATCTTATTGGTCTAGATATGTCACTTTCGACAATATTTATCTACGGCTATGTGACCTTAACGAATAATGGTTGGATTTTCCTTTGTGACACGATGATGTTTGCTGATCGCGGACTGCAAGAAAAATTTCAACAAACTCAAGTAAGCATTGTTAACCATCGTTAATTTGCATTTAAACCGCATAATTCCCGTAAATAATTTAATTAATTATCCACCACTAACACACTGTTTCGAAGTCTGAGATAGTTGAGGCCAAGCTGGACAACTGGGATGTCTAGAAGCAGCGGCAGCAGCTTCAGATGGAGTTGGAGAGGAAGTACATTGGCTGTTTGATGCTGACTGGATGGCTTGACATTCGGTATATACTTTGTTCGGTTTTTCGTGCTTGTATTACATTATTGTACTCTGGGGATTCGTTTGCAGCACGGAAAAACAATTTTGTAAGATGTTGAGTAGGTATTTTGATCATGACTTTCCAAGTACCTGGATGTTTGATTTTTCTCCGTGGATTAAAGTTCTTGTGATGCGCTTTTTGTTTGGTGTCTTTGGGGGTGTGTGTTTATGTTAATGTTTTTTTGTTTTTAAGTTGGGGATTGCTCGAGGAAGATATGGTTATTTACTGGTGAGTGTCACTTGACCTTCTAAATGACTGTTGAAAATTTTTCTAAAATCTTTAGAAAGGGGATAAATCATAAATTCTTGTTTAAGACAGATCTAATAATTGGACGGGCTGCATAAGCTTATGTGATAACCTTTTGCATTTTTAAAAAGATCCATATTACCAAACTAAACTTACATGAATATAAAAATTCTTATAAATTAACTTAATAAGTTACAAGTTAATCTATGTATTTACTAAACACCCTCGTAATATTTAAACCTAAATTATATGGAGTGTTACAAGGAGAGTATTTCTATATTTGTTTATTATTTTTTTAATAATCATGGTTCCAAAAGAAATAAAATAATACTATAACAAATGCCTTATATTATGCCCCAAAAATTTATACTCGCCATTTCTGGTGGCTGGTTTCACCAAAATAGCTAGAAGAAATGAGGCAATAAATGCAAGTGATTAAAAGCTTGGTGGCCGGTTAAAATTGGTGGCCAATAAAAGGTCAATGCAGCAGATGTAATGAAATTAAGTTGTCTACCAAACAATGTTGTCCGACAAATTCTTGTGTGACTGTCAAGTCCACTCGGTAGAAATTCTATAGAGTCATCAGATGACTCCCATATGGAGTCAGCCATAATTTTATATACTGACACATGACACGTGTTAATACATCATTTGTAAATAATTGTAGATAACTCCATAAGCCGAGCTATCCGATGGCTCCATAGCAAAACCGTATTATTTTAACAAAATTACAGCTTTATACTATCAAATATTATACTTCAACGTTAAAGCATGACATATTCAAATACAAGTGTGGATATATGGCATTTTCTAATACAAATATTGATATTTATAAGAAGAATATGTCAGGTTAATTCAAGACCAAACTTATAAATATTTACATAAAAAGAGTATATTGAAGAAATAAAGATGGTGAAAGAAACAATGGCCCCTAAGTTTTAGAGAATGAAATAAAGGTAATAAATGAGAGGGAAATCTAGATTGGCTGGTGAAAAAAACGAAGGAAAAGAAGTTGCTCAGCACCAATTGAAGTGATGATTTTGTTTTTCTTGATTAAAAACTCATATGCAAGTAGAACAACTTTGCAAGGATAGTTAGTATGGCTTCATATTAGAGCATATACAATGCATTGAGTTTATTAAAAAAAATTATATGGCACTTAAGAAATAGACATAGTCTTAAAAAATATATTCTCCAATATAAGTTCAAGTAGACTGGGTCCAGCTGATGTGACAGCAAGAAAAAGAGACTCGGTCTTCCCTTAAAGTGTATTTTAGACCCAAGTAGAGACCTAAAGCATGTGCAATACATTGAGTCTAGTTTTGCTTATGTGGCATGTAAATAAACCCAAATCTTAGATGACATGAATAAAAATATATAAAAGTAATAATATTCACTCCAATGCAAAGAGATTATGTCTCTACTTAGGTCTAAAATAGACTTAAGGGTAGACCATGTCTCTGTTTTTTTTACTGCCACATCAGCAGAACTCAGTCCACTTTTACTTGTATTGGAAAATATATTTTGCTAGACTGAGTCTATTTCTTATTTGCCATATAAATTTTTTTGATTGCTCTAAGTGAAAAAAGTTCTTATATATGAGACATGGAATTAATATTGAAAATAATATTAACTTAGTAGAAAATTGGGTTTCTATCATACCCACTAAACAACTTTTTTGTCCACAATAACTTGAAAAACTATTAAGAGCAAATTAGTCTGTTCATGAACTAAGTAAGTTTTAAACGAGCTCGAGCTCGACTCATATATCTAATAAGCCAAATTGAGTCGAACTTACGAACAACTCATTAAAATCTTAATAAATTTTAAATGAGCTCAAGTTCGACTCATATATCTAATGAGCCAAATCGAGTCGAACTCACAAACAACTCATTTCATTTAATAGCTCTACTTATTAGCCACATATTTTATTAGAATTTTTTATTGAAAAATAGATTTTGTTTTAGTTCTAAGTTTGGCAAAAAAACCAGATGATTGCCAAATATCCCACATGGCAATTAATAGGTGACCTGTCCCACCCACCTAGCCAGCTCACCTCTGCAAAACCCATCAAAGCTTATTTACTCTTCTTTGATAAATGCAAAACCTCTTTTTATCCGTACCTAGTTTATGCAAGAACAGTTTTGAGCCTTACATTTACTCCAGTGAAATAGAAAATAAACCACAATGCCCACAATCCCTTAGCCTTAAATTCAAGAAGATATAAACCATTCCTTAGCATTTTACAGATTCCTTAGCATTTACAGACAGTTTATAAACTTCTTTTTGAGTACAAAAGATTATTGCTTTCACCCATAAAAGGTGGCAATTCAATGCATGTAGAGCCACAACATTTAAGGGCTATTTTTTTTTAGGAAAATTGGGTTTATTGTTTATGGGCGTTGTAACTCCCAACTATCAATGGTTTTTGTTGTCTACAAAAAGTCACCATCATTAAACATTGTTTTTATTTTTTTATTTTTTTTATTTTAATGCCCTGCTAGTTTATATTTCCATTTTACCAAGCAAAACCTTAATTTCAGGTCATCCCAAGTTATTTATTAAGTTATGATGTTAGAAAATTTTCCTCAAGTTCCTGCCTTTCAATTTTTTCATGCATAAATGCTGCTTGTTCTGGACTTGTCACTCTCTTTAGATTTTCAGCATTATTTCTGTTGGTTCAATTTCACCAGCAAATAATTGTTTTTTATTTTTTCAAAGCACAATTTTTAGTAAAAAAATGTTACTCTTCTTGGTATCTTGCTTTTCTTTTCTGTTGATTTCTAAGTCATTTCTCAAGCCATACTCAAGTTCAAAGGTTGAATGCAGTACATATAATTTCTATGAAGCATTACACAGATTATTTCTGTTGTTGGGCAAAAGGAGAAAAATTTCCATCAGGGCATTTCAAGTTCCACCAATAAAGAGAATTTTGAGTGAAATATCCGGTTTTGAGAGGTCAGAGGAAATTAAGGAAGAGAAAAATGGGAACTTTTTACTTGATCTGCCTGATTTGCCCCTGGACTGCATTCTTGAGAAGCTCTCCCCTGTAGATTTGTTTAACTTAGTGAGGGTTTGCAGTTCTTTGAGAGAAAAATGCACAAGTGATCATTTATGGGAAAATCACATGAAAAGAAAATGGGGTGGAGTTATTGGTGATGATGCTTACAGAGAATGGCAATGCCAAATGGCCTCAAAAAGGGCTCCTAAGTTCTTGCATTGTAAAGCACAGAGAGGGCTCCGGCTATTTTCTCGATTTTTCGACTTTTTCGGTTTCAAATCGGAGAGTAAAGTAGAGAAAAGTGGCTTAACAAGCCATTTCCCAGAAAATTCAGTCATGTCCTGCTATCTGGCTCTTGAGACCGGAAAATTTTGGTTCCCGGCTCAGGTTTTTAACCGGGAGGTAATTTTCTTTTTACCCCTTTAAGAAAAATCGAATCTTTATATATGGGATGCATTTGCATAGTTCTAAATAAGTTGATATTTTGAGAAGGTATATGTTTAGTTGTCTTGGGAAAACTTATACCTATTGTTCTTCATCCTTTTTGAGGTGGTTCAGAAAGGGCATTTGGGATTTGTGCTCTCTTGTTACGATGCTCGACTGAGCTATGATTCGACAACCGACAATTTTGTTGCTCGGTATGGCTAAATATGTCTTATTTGATACTTAATTTGTTAAGCATATTGAATATTTTTCAGTCTGTTATGGTATTAAAAGTCGATTTATTCAAATCGGATATTGCAGGTACAGAGCACAAGGGAGGAGTATAATCGAGGATGGGATCGAATGGAATCAAATACGAGCACCGGCTATTAATGCTCCTGCAAATGCTGTTTATATTTCTAAGTGTTTAGATGAGCTTAAACCTGGTGACCATATTGAGATTCAGTGGAGAAAAAACAAGGAGTTCCCATATGGTATGAGTTATTTTTCATTTTCATGATTTTCTAATATTTCAATTCTTGATTTTTGGACTATTTGTCTTAGAACATGCACTTTACTTTCAGTTTCACGTAATTTATGTATGAATATCGAAAGTAGACAATTGAGTGCTACAAATCTTCGAGTTCACTTGTGGCCGGATGTTCGATTTTCCTTGTGTTCGACTTTGAAATAAAACTAAAATACTTCTACACTGATACAAAATTACAGAATTTATTTCAATAAATTCTGGCCTCACAACCAAAATTGCCAGTTGGGGCATTTTTGTTTAGAGGACCTGAAAATTAGAAATCCCAGCTGTATCTAATTAATGGATCATCTCAAATTTGTCTTCTGAACATTACAGGTTGGTGGTATGGGGTTGTTGGACACCTGGAATCATGCTTTTCCAATCAATTTAATTGCCAGTGTCACATCAATGGTAGGATAACAAAAATTTCCTATTCCAGTTAATTACAAAAAACACCCTGAGGTTCGACATAATTACGAGAAAAATAAACCGAGATATCTTTTCGAACTACAAATAATCCCCCCTGCATTTGTTTTTTCCCTGACAAACCTTAAGGGGGGTATGTGTAGTTTCAAAAGATAGATGGGTTTTTTTTTTTTTTTTTCGTNTGTACTTATCGACAGTTCTTGCCTTCTATTTTGAATTTCCCCCTCCTTTTTGATTTCATCCCTCCCTTTTTTAATTCCAACATTTCTTGTGACTTCAATATAAAGGCACATGAATTTCTTGTGTGAGACAGCCTAATTGTTAGACGGGTCGACCCGTCATACCTTTGTAACAAAAATGCATAATTATATTATTTGTTTTTTAGTTTACGACATTTCAAAGTATGTATATTGATTGAAAAAGTACAATTGTCAAACTATTAAGTCCGCGCAAAGAAATATTGTTTCACCTCAATTTATCTTGGTTTATAAAACACATTTTATGTTTCAAGGTATTAATTTTTTCAATTTATGATATTAGTATGTAGAGGTGTTGTGGCCTGTGGTCCCAAAAGGTTGGTTTAGACAGTAAGTAATAAATGCATGGAGGAAAATGTAGCTATGCAATAGTTATTGTCACTTAACTTGAAATATTGATCCTACTTTGGTTCATTATGGAACATATCCTCGAGGTTCCGTGTAATTATGAGAAAAGATCCAACTTTCTTTACTCTCCAAAATGGGTTTCTGTAGTTATATCTTCTGAAATCATAGTCGAGACGATTTATGGCTAGTAGAGAAAAATGATGTATAATCTAGTCGTTTTCAAGTTCTCTTTTATGCTTCATTGTTACGTGTAATGATGATAATGTGTTTACAGATAACGTGATTTTGGAGTTCAAACAATACAACACGGATTCAAGATGGAGGAAAGTTATGATTAGCCGAAAGGACCATAGAGAAATCGGCAACGAAATGGATGGTTTCTATGGTGGGATTAGAAAGCTACACAAGAAAGAGGAGATTGCAAAATGGAAAGAGCTATGGCCAAAATGTACTTTGGAATAGTTGCTATTTTTTTTTCTTTATGAAGTTACTATGAGATGTAATTAGTCAAGGCTTTGCTTTTTTATATCTTGATGCAAAGCCTTTGCCTTAGCTTAGTTCCTTTGTTGGAAGGGTGGGTGAATTCTTTTTGTTGGCCTTATTTTGTCACTCTAAAAAAATGCAAAACCTTGTGGGATGTGTTGAAATTCGTAAAATTGTTTGATATAGAAAAAATTGATTTATATCCTTTTTTTTTAATAAATAAAAACTATCTTAATTAAGAATAGCAAAATTATTGTCAACCAATTAAAATTAACTTATACTTAATTGATGTAGGCAATATGAGGTTAAAAATGTCTAGCATAAAGCACATCGGTTTTGCTATAAAGCTAACAGTTGGATCCATAGTGGAACCAACCTTCTATAAACAACAAATAAACCTTCCATATTAATAAAATTATATTAGTGTTATTTAAGTAATCAGAGAATATGGGAGGTTTATTTATTGTATATAGAAGGTTGGCTCCACTATGGAACCAACTGTTGGCTTCATAGCAAAATCGTAAAACACATAATCTTCACAACAAACATTATAATCTCACTTGATTAAAATTTATGATTAATTGTGTTATTTACTTATTTATGAATTTTACCATAACAAGTGTGCATTTTGTATGTAAAATTTTCAATAATTTTACAGACCCAACAAAAGGCTAAAATCGGGTCGGCCCGAACCCGCCTATCAAACTTTGGATATTTTTCGCGACGAGTCGATAGAGCCAAGCCCAAGAGCAGCTGCAGAAGAGAGAGAGAGAGAGTGAGAAAATCTGTATCTATATACAGAGAGATATCGAACGGCGCTGTATATACAATCGATTCATTCATCTACACACAAAATTATACATCGATACAAGCGACAGGCGAGGTGGTTGGTTCGCCTGGAAGATGAACGGCGGCCCATCTGGTTTCAGTAAGCTCCGATTTCTAAGTTTGAAAAGCTGTGTTTTGGTTATGGGGAATTTGAGGTTTTTGAACAGTTTTCGTCTTTTACAGATAATGCGCCGGTGACGAGGGTAGTAGTGATCGCCAGTATTCTTTTCACAGTGGTATTTGGGATCCAAGGTCGCTCTAGAATTTTCAATTGGTCTTATCAGGTATTCTTTTTTTTATCTTTCATTTTAGGGCGTGAGAGGGATTTTCCTGTTTCTAATCTCTGGAAAGTTTCGATTTGTAATACAATTTGGTTAGTTATTGTGATGAATTATTAATTTGAATTCTCATTTCAATTGGGAATTTTTTATTTTACTTGGATCGTGTTGGAAGGTGGAGGTGCATGAATTACATGGTTTATCATTCGGGTTTTTTAACCTGTGAAGCAATTATGTAGCTCGATTATGTAAAGTTTGGAACTTTTCTGTTCTGATTTTGATTATGCTTGTTGAGTGTTGAACTTAGCCTAAATAAAGTGACGTAGACAGTCGAACTTCTTGTTGTTTATGGGGTAATCCCAGTAGTGAAGTTCTTTGTTCACAACAGTTATTATAATGACAAGAAATGTATCCTTTAGGTGGTGCTATTTCTTATTTACTCTTATTTTTTTCTGGTAGGTTACCAAAATAGTCTTGGTATATTTGAATGTGATGGTGTGGGATACTTTTAGGAAAGCTCAATTATAATTTGATGTGAAGAATCACAATTTAGCAACAGATGCATCCTTTTAGCCCTTAAACCTCCAGCTCCAGAATAAAAATTCCTCAATTACATTATAAGGGCAGAGATCTTTGTTTTGTAATTTCTTTCGTGCTGTTCCCTAATGAAATATCCATGTACTTAACCAAATGGAGGGTTCTTCCCTAGCCATTGTCTGCACGTGTGTGTGCCTTTATTTGTTTCCGCGTGCCTTCTTTACGTACACTCTTCTCTTGTAGTCATAGAGGAACGAAGGAGAAGAACGTCCTCTCACTATTGATGCTTTTTTATATAAATTTAGTGATTTTTTTAGTAATTACAGGGGGGCTGACGGGGAGGGGAAATTCTTAAGAAACTGCAAGTTACTGGAATCGAACCCTGTATCAACTAGTCCAACCATAGGTACCACTTGAGCTACCAGCTCGTGGTATATAAGTTTAGTGATTTACAAAGTCGATTTGGTGCAGCATGTTTCTATGATTAATTGCACCCTTACTTGAGTCTTTACTGATGGCAGGATATTTTCAAGAAATTTCAAATATGGAAGCTCATAGTTTCAGTTTTTGGCTTTTCATCTACACCGGAACTGATTTTCGGAGTTTATCTTCTGTACTACTTTCGTGTGTTTGAGAGGCAAATAGGTTCTAATAAACACAGTGTAAGTTCTTGTTCTAGCACAATTTCTTTTTGTCTGTTTCCATATGAAGTTGTTATGCCAAATTGTAAGTTGTATTGTTGGAGAAAGTAATATGTAATACGTTTTTTGACTTTAAGTTTCAGCAAAGTGATTATGAGTTGTATTAGTGATAATTAGTTAGCACTATGTTCAAATGAACAATCATCTGAAGTCCTTTCCTGCAGGTTTTTATCCTGTTTTCCGTCATCATGTCTTTAGTGCTTGAAGTCGTTGCACAATGGCTACTTAAAGGTGTGCTAATGTTTCCCTGTCATTTCTTTCTCTCTGTCGTTCTTGTTCTTCTGCATCAATGGCTTCTATATGCTTTTCTCTTATATGCTAGTTTTAAGGAACCTATGTAATGCTTTTGTGAATACATCCTTGTGGGAAGAAAACCATCCTGATAAATGATAAAAAACTGTACCTTCTCGTGTTACTAGTTTACATTTACTATAAACATTGTAATTCATAATGTTAGACTTTATTGTACAAGGGTCATATGACATCCAAAATGTTGAAATTTGAGGTAAATCTTTCCAGTAAATTGTGCTCTATTAAGAGATTCTCACTATTGTAAGTCTCTGTGTTTGTATTTTTGAATCGGTAACTGTTAATTTGTCAGTTGTCACTAGAGCTTACATTCGATGTAGTCATTATAGATAGAACTAATCTCTTTATATTTTCCAATTCCCATTGATTCTTACCTTGTGTGTTGCTTCCTTCTGTGATATTAATGGCAGTTCCACGGTAAGACGTATGGATCCTGGCTAATTTTTTTATGAAGCCAAGTATCCTTTTTCTTTTCTATTTCTTTTCTTCATAGAATTGTTTATACTTGTATGTCTCCTTTTCAGTCTCAATAATAACTGTCCTTCCTTTGTTTATTCAAACTTCATGCACAATAGAAATTGAATTCTTCGCTTGTATAATGTAATGGGAAACATTACACATAATATTACATACATTCTTTTACATTGATGATGCGGTTTTATTTGTCTGGCAGATCCCTCATTGAGTATTCTCACATCTGGACCCTATGGCCTTATATTTTCTTCATTTGTTCCCTTCTATTTCGACATTCCTGTTTCGACGCGGTTTCGTGTGTTTAGCCTGAACTTCTCAGACAAGACTTTTATTTATTTAGCTGGACTTCAGGTAATTTATGAGCATTATGGCTATATACACGATGAGGCGCTAATTATTTTGTATCAATTTAACGTTTCTTTATTAATTTTCATTACTTGTACTTTACAGTTATTTTTATCATCCTGGAAAAGATCCATACTTCCAGGGCTTTGCGGTATTCTCGCAGGTTCCCTGTACCGCTTGAATGTCTTCGGCATACGCAGGCTAAAGGTTACACCTACTCTTAAGTTGATCATTTATATGAGGCTAAACTTGTCTTTTTAGAAGCTTCTTTGTCAGAATTCATTTCAGCAAATGGGAAATTTGTGACCCTTTCTTACGTTAACCCCTTTCGTAATATTCTTCCAACTTATAAATACTAATGCAGTGAAATAAATGGTTTTTATTTTTTTATTTTTTATCTGCATAAAGTTTGGGCGTTTATCAGTTAAAACATTATTATGTTTGGTTGTGTGTTTAGAAAGTACCTTTTTTATGCTTCACATGGAGAGCATATATTATCCCAGAAATTTTGTGTACGAAGTTATAGATAGCCACTGCTTTGCTTCTTTTACTTTTTTCTCTGATATTTTATCGAGCTAATGGCTGACTAGCTTATGCGTTGCTGTTTCAGTTTCCCGAATTTATCGCATCATTTTTCTCAAGACTGTCTTTGCCATCTATTGGTAACACATCACCCACCACCAGGTCATCGCCCAATACCGGTCGCCAGATTGAGGTAGTTCTTTTTTTCAGAATAAGAATGCTCGATTTTTAATTTTATTATTAAAATTTTAGAAGTTTATTGTGTCTTTTTGTAGTTACATAGAACATGTGAATCCATACTCATAATAATTAATCCTTTTTTCTTCGTGACTTTCAGGCAAACTATCCAGCTCCATTGTCCTCGACCGAACCACCTGAGGACTCAATAGCCACACTCGTTTCAATGGGCTTTGACCGAAATTCGGCAAGACAGGCTCTCATACGAGCAAGAAATGACGTCAATACCGCCACTAACATCCTTCTCGAATCTCAAGGGCATTGACCCAAGTTATGTGTTGGTTTGAATGGTGTATTCATCTCGAGCAATGAGTTATCGGATTTTCTAAACTGAGAAACATTTTGTCTCCAGTCGACAAAATCATATGTTTTTCTTCTTCTTGCCTTCAATAGGATTTTTGTTCCTTTTTTTTTTTTTTTTTTTTTTTTTTTTTTTTGTTTGTTTTTCTCTGCAGTTATTTAGTTAAGAGGGACTAACTTAGCTGTAGACCTGATTGCAGTGTACAGTAGGAAGTTTTAACTTGTGGTTCGTTTGATTGTTGCTAGACCTGTATTACCTCATTCTCTATCTTATTTGGTTTGACTGTGATTTTGAATTTAAAAGTTCTAAATGTGATCAATTTAGTACATTATATAATATGCAAAATATTAAGACCAATCAAAAGAAGATGTCTTTTCAAGATCTATTTTCATTTTCATCACTTCAAGGTGAAAGGGTAACAAATTTCCCAATAAGTCATCAAATCTCCAAAAGGACAGTACACAGTATTACACTGCCAAGTATTCTGGACAAAATGTGGTCTCAGATATACAACTTTGATTATACTTTTGCAAGAGAGTCAAATCCCATGAAAAAAAAAGGCAGGAATCGGATAAAAAACAGGGAAGAAGCTTCTAGATAGTGCTGATGTCGACTCGGCTTTTGTGAAGCTGGAAGGCAGGTGTAATCCAGCTCCCGCAACTGCACTGAATGCCGGACCAGTTGAAGTAACCCAAACGAGCTTCACAGTTGATGCACGATAGCTTTCCCTCCAGACAACCTTCTTCAACTGTATAATTTTCGAAACAATTAGGAAGTCAAGCTAGTAAAGTGATAGTGCGAAAGTCCCGTTTTGCTACGATGAAAATGTGCAAACTTGTGTGTAGTTTGAGGAGGATAAGCTACTATGTGATATAGTACCATAAGAAAGTTCACTATCTGATTAAGTTACACGACTTTACGTACTAATTTTCCCTATGATAAAGACTCGATCAAAAAAAAAAAAAAAANNNNAAAAAAAAAAAAAAAAAAAACGTACCAGCTTTCATCCAGCAAAGAGGTTCGATAAAGATAGAAGAACACTCGTCATCTTCAGATCTGCTAAAAGTACCACTTCTTTTACGCCAATTGAAGCACGTTTCGCCCTCTCCCGGAACATGATCCACCGCATTTTCTTTCAAGGCAACTAGTCTGCGGCATTTCTTGCAACGGTAAGCAGGAGTATTGGGCCGTGCTTCGTTATTGGTCAATTTTTCAGAATGGGAAGAAAGTTTTTCAGCAAGGGAGCTCGGGTCAGGCCCGAACTTGGAAATATCTATTTTCTCTCCACAGTTATATGACTCGCCTGTCAAATTTTGAGGTTTATTTCATTCAATGTAGAAAAATTCACACATCCCGTATTAAAAAAAAATAAAAGAAAAAAAGTTAACCAGGAACTACTGACAAAAGGGAAAAAAAAAAAAATCAAATGAACTATTACATAGTACACAATGTAATGTAATGTAATAAAAAGGCACAATTGTTCAGGCAAAAGATACAGACCTAATACTTTTAGGCGGAAGCGCTTGTATATTGGACTACCACGATCCACCTTAAAACCCATTTCTTCAAACATTTTCAACTGCAACCAAATTTCGAGAGGAGATTATAAATAAACTGAAGTTAACTAACTTTTACCATAGACAACATAGATGAGTCCCATTTAAGTCACCTGCTCCAGGAAGCCATCATTCGGGCATACAGATTCACAGCTCTGTCTCAAAGACTCAATAGCATCTAATCCCCAATTGGTTAGTGGAAAAAAAAAACTTGAGATTAGAAAATAATAAACTAATGAGAGAAAGAAGCAAACTAATTGATATTTGCAACTCTTTACCATCTACAGTGAGTCGTTCACTTTTCATCAGGTATGCCGTAATGATAGCTGCACTGCAACGAACACAGGCAAAGAAGGGTGTAAACCCTTAAGGGCTTGACAAAGCAGAGAACAAAATAAAACCAATTACAATGTATGCCTTTGCTAAATATTATTAGGCAATAACAAGAAGAACAATAATGAGCAGTTGTGAACTAAAAGAAAGCACAACTCTTAACAAAACATACAAGATTCAGCAGCACAAGCTTTTATTAGTATTGATATTCTTTATACCATTCTAAACTGATGCAGATCAATGTAATAATTTATACCTCCTTGATACACCTGCAAAACAGTGAACCAAAACCGAACCCTCTTTCCGACTATTTTCGATAAAATCCAAAGCTGCATCTAAATAATCGAGCAAGTCCTCGCTCTCCATATCCCTCAGAGGCACTGCCATTCTCACAAACTTCAAATCCTTACCCGCATACTCAAGTGAGTAAAGGAGCTTATCTGGTGAGAGTGCGCTCTTAGACCCATTTTCTGAATCAGAGTCCCCAACAAAAACCTTCCGGATTTCTTTAGTCGGGATCGAAATCCCACTTCGCCACTCGGAGAAGAAAGAAATGGAAGCTGAGCTTAGGACTGAGAGTATGTGTGTGATGTCATCACTTCCATTCTGGAGAACTTCTGCAGCATCTCCAATGTTGCCGATGAACAAATGCTCGCGTACGAGGTATGGCATTTTTCGGTACTGCCAATATAGGACCTGTTAATCGGCTGTTTCAAGTGGAGGACAACAATCTTTGTGCTACAAGTAAAATAAAATGCATAAATTTGGCAGATGAGATGTAAGTTTGATCAAAGGTTTTAACCTTGACAGAGATTCCGAGATATTAATAGTGTCAAATTTATTCCTTACGAAAACTCAGAACTCAAATTTCACAGCTCAACCAATCAATTCCATTAATCCTATTAATGGAATTGATANCGCAATAAAAGTGAATTCGCTCTGCTCTACGCAGAAAAGGACGCAATTACTTCGATGCTTTTTTAGGATTGGTCAACTGTAAGAAAAGGAAAGGGAAGCACGAACGAGATGCGCTAATTCATAAATCAATTTCATGCTGTCCAAAATACAATCGTTTTACTGTTCATTCTTAAACACACTTGAATCTGCAACAAAAATTGAGACACCATCCATGAATCCAGCTCAAGTTTCTACAACCGAAATGTTTCTCGATTAAACCAATCCGCCAGTTTAAACTAAAAATTATAAAATTCTGAAAAAACGGAAAATCGGACTCCAATAAATCCGATTTTTCGCCCCTCGATGAATCGGAAAAGGCTTCCGATGACAGTACCTGTGGCCGGAGAAGGAATATTCCGGTGATGACGTGGGAATATCCGCGGAGTGACTCAAGAGGATATACTTTTTAATTATTTATTTTCTCCCTCTCTTAGAAATTTTAGGCTAAAATGAAGCGGAGGTTTGTTCGCGCTTTTATAAGAGACTCACACGTGTGGCGGAATCTTAAACATGGGTTAGCACGCTTTTAATTTAATCAATAAAAATTAAGAAGTATCTTTCGACGTGGCGTCACGTCGTGTAAGGGAGGCTGTGTTTATTTTCTTTTTCTTTTTCTTTTTTCTTTTAACTGATTGTACTTTATTATTTAGAATTAGGACTTTAAAATATGGCTTTAATGTTTTTTTTTTAACATAGATTCAGAATATGCTGTTAATAATCATTTGAAAAAACAAATCTTTATTCTTACAATTGAGAAAAAATTGTGACTTGTGAACTGTAATAAACAAACTGATTTTATTGTTTGATCACATCTCGAATTCTTTCGAGCTCGCTCAATAAATGAATGAGTCGAACTCAAGCTATCACGAATCATGCTCGTTCAAATAAATGAACGAGTCAAATTCAAATTCTCATGAATCAAACTCGTTCAAATAAATGAACAAGTCAAACTCGAGTTCTCACCAATCAAACTATGTTGTTTTCTTAGAATAATGGATCTAAATTTTTGACAGGATAGTAAGGGCCAAAACCCAATATTAATATAATATACTCTGCATAAAGATGATGAGAAATGTTATAAGTACGTAAGACTGTACATAAGAGTGCATAACACTCACATTGTATGAGACTTACTAAAAATAAAAAAATCAAATGAACCTCACTCCATGTGAGTGTTATGTACACCTCTAAGTACATTTCTTATATACTTGTAGCATTTTCCAAAGATGATTGGGACCCGATACACAAAAATAATTGTTACATGCTAGGAGAATATTTTGTATGCAATATGGCTTTTTCTACAATTTAATTAATTAGCTATATACTTAAATTGTTGCACATATTGTACAATCATTTTTTTTTTCCAAAAGATAATAAATTATTATAACCAAACTCAAATGATACAATGTTCGATTAGCCAACGGACTACAAATTCACCCCAACAGCCATGGAAGACATTGAGGATGCTTGGATACAAATATTTTTAATTCAACCACTTTTTTTAACTCAACTTTAACTCAACCCAACTATCATTAATATTATTAATATAATTAAATAATATCAACCAATCATTCTTACACATCACATCAACTTTAATTCACTATTCATCCACTCACATAATTTTTAACTAACCATCACTTATCATCTCTCTCATACTTTTACATCAAATCAACTTTAATTATTTTATTTAAAATATTATTTTAATATATTCACTAATAACTAATCATACCACCTTTTTCAAAATTAACCAAACCAAACCAAAAAATCCAAACAAATCCAAAATTTTTATATCCAAGCATCCTCTAAAGAAGCTATTTCCTTACCTATTCAATAATATCTGATAATCAGCAGTCTCAATTATAACCAATCCTTAATCAAAACATTTTTAATATTAACAAAAAATACAGAGATTCAAAAAGCACAAAAGTATTGAAGAATAAAGGAAAATAAAAGAGGGAATATATATATATATATATATATATATATATATATATAAAGGACAAGAAAAGTGTTACAAAATTCAACATTAATCTAAAAGTATATATATATAAAGGACAAGAAAAGTGTTACAAAATTCAACATTAATCTAAAAGTTTTCCCACTGTCCATGCAAGTATTAACAAACATTAATAATTGCAAAAAGAAATACTATAGGTACATAATATTGTACATAAGAGTGTACATAACACTCATATTGAGTGGAACCCACCAAAAATAAAAAATCAAGTGGACCCCACTCCATGTGAGTGTTATGTACACCTTTATGTACATTTATTATATACTTATAGTATTTTTCTTGCAAAAATGAACTCAAGGAAAACCAATTTTCCAGTTTATAAGCTTTGTTTCCTCGTAAATGTATGACAACAACGGCCAATTCTACTCCACCAAGTGTCGCTAAAAGAAAGGGTGGTCAGCATTTTTCTTCTCCATCCTTGGTGTAAACAGGCACGTGCCAAATCTTGGTGTTTTTCTTGGGGTCATCTGTGAGGCTTAGATCCGTATCGTCTTCTTTAAACGTCCTAATAAACGTTTTTGCTCCCATCATGATGAGCCTTTCCACCATGAACAAATGGTAATTGTTCTCGATTAACGGGTCTAAAACCCTGCTGTAGTTCGACGAGTATGCCAATTTGTATCTGCAAATTTGTATCTCATAAGCTAGCTTATAGCTGATAAGTGAATTTCGAGCTTATAACTGATAGCGGTTGAAAAGTTAGTTTATATGATAAAAGTGTTTGGTAAAATTAGCTGACTGAAATAAAAATTTTCAATGGACTTATTTGAAAAAGCTACTCAAGAAATCTTATGAGATAAACTCGAACTTTTTAAAAAAAGTCGTCCTACCAAACCAAGCTTATTTATTTGAATACATGAAGCTTAATTATAAGCTAATCAAATAAACTATAAAAGTTAGTTTATATACTTACCAAACACAGCCAAAGAGTCAAGGGTCGAAAAGCGAAATTCAACTATGAATGAAAATAAAACATTATGTTTTGTGTCTTTCTTTCTTCAATTCTTCTTTTCTTTAATTCTTTCCACCTAATATTTATATTAATTTCACCTGATATTTTTATTTTTATTTTTATTTTTCTTTCTTTTTTTTATTTTTATTTTTTTTGTAGTAAAGTTACTCTGCAGGGTGCCTCAAAGTTCAATAGCCAAACGTATAGAAGTTGTACCTTGCAGCCAATGGCGAAAAGAATCCAGGAGTTCTCTCGTTTGACGCAATGTAAAGGGTTCGTCTTGGTGGGACCCACTTGGAGATTCTACAGAGAATAAATTCGGGACGTGTGTCTCTATCAAGGTGAGGATGTAAGCTCCGTTGGACACCAAATCGGTCCTTTCTCGTTTTCAGTTTATCTCCTCGGCGCACATGAATGGCATCATAATCTCCAAGAAGCGCCTTAATCTTTTTAAGGAAAAAAATAAAAAAATAATATATATGTAAAGTAAGATAGTAAGAAGATATATAATGAGGATTTATCTTTAAAACTTCAAATGATCTCACTTGAATAAACACGCATAATTAATGCCAATAAAAATCGGGTAATCGGTTATGAATGATTTCTCAGTTTGAAATGCTATATTTTCATGAGAGGCAGGCAAAAATACTGTTTTTAAATGATTTTCAGTAGGACACAAGCCGTTGATCTTCTCATTCAAGTTATAATATATAGAATGTTAATCCAAAATAATCGCATTGAATACTCTGATAATAGTGGAATAAGATATTCAACTACTTTAAACAAGCTGCAAGCAAGGAGAGCAACTTTTTTGTACATCAATAATCATATGGTCATGCATAGACGTATGACAGAATTGAGACAGCTACTAATCACCAAAATATATGGGAAAGAAAGGAAAAATGGCAAAAACTAATAAATTAAACCAAAGGGAAACATATGTTACCTTTTGTGCAGCATCCCGAAACTTCTTTGCAGCCATTGATGGAAGAAAAGAATAAGGCAGCAGAATAGAATTGCGGTTATTTCTATCCTTGCACTCCATGAACCTGAATGACTTACCATGATTAATACCTACACAAAAAGCTATCGAGATTTCAAAAACTAAATCAAATATGTAATTCAGCAGACTAATCTTCTTATGGCATGGCAGCATAAATTATGATGATTTTTTATCCAAAAAGATTAGCCGAAAAGTGAATTCAGAATAGACAACTGATTGTGATCCTCATGGACACTATTTTCAAAGGCAATAAATAAGAAATAACATATTAAGTCCAGAATTAGACACCAACCACGAGAGAGGACTTGCAGTTCGATTTATGAGTAGAAGATTCGAGTATAAAGCATTTTCTTTGAGATCAGCTCGATTAACTCCTTGCACGTGTGCAATTCCTCTGGGTCCCAGTTTCATGCTTGTCGTGAGGACATGATGCCACATTTTTGAATTATCCAAAATCACAGGTATAGTTTCGGACATAAGATCCATATCATACAAGGATTCCATAGCACACGAGTTACCTGTCCACCTAGCCAAAGCAAGTGGCAAGATCATTCATAACAAAAGCACAATCAATGCTTCTTATATTAATTTTAGGACCTTCTCTACAATAAGCAATGCACATAAATGTTTATGAGCTACAGAGAACAAACTTACCCTTCCTCAGAACCCTCATCGCCCGCTTGATGAAGAATCCCCTTTTTATTGTGTATGGGATTAATACACATCCTAGAAGGCATTACGAAGGTCCTGCAAATGGAAGATAGATCAGTTTGAAAATGGTGTACAATGTCATATCACAAAGAGCAGAGGTGACAAGATTGAAATACGCATTGATACCATTGGAAAACGAAATAAAAATAAAAATAAAACGTTCAAACACATATTCGAAGAAAAGTAAAGTTACAAACGAATGATTCACTAAGAACAGAGACGTTCAAACACAAATTCGAAGAAAAGTAAAGTTACAAACGAACGATTCACTAAGAACAGTTTAAAGCCGGTTAAATATGGCCCAAAAGGTTAAAACTCAGAAAGTTGTGACAGTTGGTTAAAATAACACCATTGGCTCAACACAAGAAGAATAATCACTTCTGGAGTTAGATTCCATTTAGAAGCAAAACTTTAAAGAATAAAACAGCACCCACAAAAACCAATCGAAATGAACCTACTAAGTGGTCACGTTATTCAAAAATACACTATCAACAGCTCCATCACAACAGTTATAATAAATGAACCTACTAAATGGTCACATTATTCAAATACACAATCAAACAGCTCCATCACAATTCACAACTACTATAAAAAAACTCTGTAAAATTTTATGACTTCCTCCAAAACCCACCAACCAAATAACCGAAAAAATCCAATCTCAAAAGTAAATATCATTCCAAATCAACACGCGCACACAGTTAACATACCTCCCAAGAAACAGCGCCTCTTCAAGGGCACACCTAAGGCTAGATTCATGGTGCCCCAAACCTTCACACGAGTCGCAGTGTTTTCCAAGGCAATCGATTTTGCTGCCCCAATACAAGTATTCTCTTGCAAAGTGTGCCGGTTCTTGGGCTTGTTAACCAAGCCTTGCAAGCTACTAGAAGTGGAGGCAGAGAGCCCGGGCGTGGAGAGTAGTGATGAAGCAAGGTACAACACGGCAATGCATGCGATAGACGTTGTGAGGATGAGGAATGGAGATCTGGGTTTTGTTGATTTTGCCTTCGGATTGGCCTTTGGGATCGCCATTTTGGGATTTTGGGTTTTCTGTTGTTTTTCAGTCTGTTGGAAGAAATCCAGCTGATGCAAACAAATAAGGAGAGATTTTTTTACTTTTCATATTGTTTGCATTTGATTTTTATTGGTTTTATTTACTTTTAACTTTTTTTGTTCTTTTCATATTAGATCTGTTAAAATGGAAGGAGCCATTGTGTTCGACTTCACTTGACTCGTTATGATTCAAGCTTAGTTAGAGACACAAACTAAGTTTAATCTCGTGTGGTTTAGTTGGTTTAACTGAGTTGAGACTGTAATTTTATAAAATTGTAGCTCATTTTCGCTTCATTAAATTTCGTGTCGACTCATTAGTATTAATAATGAGTCAATCTCGAGCTCATTTGGTTAACGAACTCGACTTAGCTCAATTATATTTGAGCTCGACTCAGTTCAACTTGTTTGCACGTCTAATTGATACCAACTTGATTTAAAGATTCACTTTAAATGTTCGATTGTTAGATTGATTGATATAATGCTTTTTCACCTTTTCTAATTGGACAATTAAGTTGTTGCATGCAAACACACCATAAAATGCTATAAAACCTTAGTATAAGAAGCCCAATGCTAGAACTAGTAAAATATCAATAATTACGTATTAACATATAAGTAACTCAAAATTACCTCACTAACTCAAAATTATCTCACTCAATTTTGAATTGGACCCTTAAACCCAAACTTCATGTTGGCGGATTTTACTCTTTACTTTTCATTCAAAATGGTAATACATTTGAACTTATTGTACAACTACTTGATTTATTAATCCTTGGATGTTACTCGATATCTATATCTATATATATATGGAGTGGTTCTAATAAAAACCTTTTCTGGTGTGAGAACCGTGAGAATCATATTTGATGTTATTTTTAATTGTGTATGATGCTATTTTTAATCTTACATGGTGCTATCATTTTTACAAATGCTAACATAAATTGTGTTACTATTTTTAATAAAATACATCCTGATTAAAAATAGCACTAAATATAATCAATCATAACACTACATACAATTAAAAATAGCGGTTCTCACGCTAGGACTTGGTTCTCATTTGAACCAAATCCATTGCTAGCAAAAAATTTAATAAAACTTTTTTGTTTTTTCGTATTTTTCTGTTACTTTTGCATTAATCAAACAATTATATTTTCTATTTATTTTATTATATAATTGCTACTATTAACTAATAATGAAGTCACACTAATTGTTTTCTATTCTAAAACTTTTTTCAAACTATTTATTCAAAATTTCTTCTGTTTTCACCTTATTAACCAAGTTTTTTATATTAATATTAGTTAATTATTTTTTATGGCATAACCAAACCCTTTAAAATTTTGTACACAGTTATTATAATAATAATTTCAATATTTGTTTTATCCACTTAATTGTCATAATCAACCAAGATTGCATAAAGTAAAAGATTAATATGTAAGTTAAATAGTTTATATTGTTATCGTCCATTTTACTAAGATAAGATTTATAAATGTGATATGCTCATTATTTACATATTATTTTTTTTTAATTTTATATAAAGCACATATATATAATGTATAAAATTTTATTTGCATTTGGACATGTGCACAAGATCGAATACTAGTTCCATAGTAAGACTAGAATGCTTATTGGTCAATCAAGTGATATGGTTCAAGACTTAAAAATGTTCGAGAACCTCAATTTTGTCTAAGGATAAGAATTCATTGAGATAACATGGTGGTTAAGTTAAATTATTAGGTTCTATCATTACCTATAAGCTGTAAAGATAAAAAAGTTGGCTGGAGATGATGTTGAAATTATTTTTAAATGTGATATCAATAAAGCTTGAGGGTGATTGGATTGAAATAAAGTATTTGATGTGAAATGTAGTTAGTGTAATAATTTGGTATAATTTTTTTTTTTCCAACGATAATCAAATATATTAAAGCTCAATAAGAAGTTTTACAAACGGACTATCAAATGATAGCAACATCCACAAGAGAGACCTAACACGGCTGCCCCTTCCATTCATGTTAGAATATCACTTGTGAGTTGTCCCACATCGTTCATATATGGAAAATAGACCCACCTTATAAGATTAATGGGCTACTCCTCCTTCCACCAATTGGTTTTGGGATGGAACCCATTTGGGCTTCATATGAGCTTTTCCCTTCTTTCATGGTCTCCTTCATGGTAGTGGACCAGCACCCATTTTCCTCCAGTTTATGTCAATCCACACTAACAAAAAACAAACACTACAACTATAGCTAATTAAGAAGGGGCAAAAACAAATGAAGAAAAAAGAGACATAAGATTTGGGAAGCAAACTAGGGCACAGTTTTAACTTTTAACAAGTCACTTTTATTATTGAATAGACATACATACATATTCATATGGTCATATGTATTGATCCAACTATGCTCGATTGTTAAATCAACCTTGAGTTTCATGGTGACTGTGTTGGCTTTTTTTTTTTTTTCCATTTCTTATAAAAATATATATTCTTTGTCAGTTTGAGTATTTTAATACAATATTGATACGATGTGAATGTGATTTTTAAAAATATATGAGTGACTGGATAATTAAACTTTTGAAACAAATTGTGAAAAACTAGCAANTATCTCGATTTGATAAAGTTTGAATTTAATTCGTTAACATTAATAAATGAATTTTAACAAGTCGAACTGAAGTTCTTTTAACTCGGCTCGATAAATACTTAAATTCATCCTTAAGTATAAAAAGATCGAGTTCGGCTAATCTTGTTAACTCCAACCAAAATACCAATAAAATAAAGGCTTATTTAATAAAATGAAATGAATCAGAAGATGATATTCTATAGCAGGCTAGCAGCAGGACAAGATAGATTTTAGTGGGTCAAGACGAACTGTCTGCATAATGAAAGCTTCTTTAATGGGCCTGGGCCTCAATTTCTTTTGGCAAGCATTATCTGTATTTAAACTTGTGGTGACGAGTAACTCAACTCAACAAATATATTGGGCCTTTACAGCCAAGCCCAACTCTTAAGGACCTGACAAAGAGAACGTCAAAAGGTTCCCTCAATTGTGTCTGTACAAATGCAAAATGGTCCAATTGAATAGTCCTACATATACAATTAGCCCTTTATATACCGTGTTATCCTTAGAGAGAGACAGAGAGAGAGAGAGAGAGGGGGAAAAAAAAAAAAAGCCAGAAATGACATTTTTATCAAACTCCTAACTTATGTGTTCAATTTTAGCTTATATGTGTAGAGTGTATTTGGTAAATATCATAATCAAACTTATAGTTTAGATTTTAGAGTGTATTTGATAAATATTATTAGCAAACTTATAGTTTTTTTAGTTACCTTGTAAGTTTCTTGCCGTTTAAATAAGTTTGGGTTGTTATGATGAAATTTTTGAAAAATTTATAATTTATTCCATAAGCTTCTTATGTATTTTTTTTTAAGAAAAAATAAGACTCAATAAGAATTTATATTTCAACTAGTTTATCATTTAATTTTATCAAATACTTTTAATATATTGGCTAACTTTTCAATAAACTACCAACTTGGAAATCACTTCAGCTCTTAATTAGATTTTTTACAAAACATATTATAATCAAAATTTTCAGCCACTATATTTTTTTCTCTAATCTATACTTAGTAAATTTACACATCCCTCATTCTTTTTTTTAACGTCCCAAATTGGTCAACATATATGTGTTAATTATTATTGCTTGAATGTACATTTGTTTAACATATGATTAAAATAAGCACGCCGCATTAATCCAATAATTAGCCAAACATATCACATCCAAAGATGATTAGATTTATCCCAAGTAGAGTACGTTGGATTCATCACTAGCATGATATTATTGATATGAGAAAAAATCAAAAAAGGGGGCACACCATTTACTATTTAATACGAAATTAAAGACGAAAAAAAAAGTAATTAAGTTGTCTGATTTGATTAAGATTGGTGTCGGGTTCCCACTGAAAAAAGTATTTTTAGCTTTAATCAGCTGACGAGTCTCGATAAGTTGTTGAGATGATGAAATAAGCAGCACCAAAATTGGATAATAATAAATAAATAAATAAATAAATAAAATGAAGAGGAAATTATACTTTACCTGAAAATAGGTTATGGCTTTTGCAAATAGAAAAGATGAAGCTTTTCCATTTTTTTATATTATTTTTTTTGGTTATGCCTCCACCAGCAAAATAATTAATTCAACAAGATTATGGAAAGTGACAATATGTTTTGTCCCTATCACTAATCTTGTTTCCCACTAATTATTTGTATTTTATGATCAATTAAGTATATATGATGCCGAAATTAGAATTGTTAAATGAAACGAGATGCTCGTGAGTTCGACTCGCTAAGTTACGAGTTTGATTCGTAAAGGTTCGAAAATAGGAATTTATATGTAATTTTCTATAGTTCAACTCATTAATGTTTGAGTTAGTTAATATTAATAAATAAACCGTATAATTAAAGGCTCGAGCTTAAAGGAGGATCATGAAGGAATTTCCATCTTCCTTGACTTAAAGTAATGAAATACAAGATGTACATTGCATGTGTTATTTATTATGGACCTAACAACTTAAAGTCATAAGCCATAGACTAGTGCCTGAATATATACTTTTATAGAGAAAATTACTCCTACTACAACACCATACAAGAGTTATATTTAAAAAACGATACATGAAAAAACAATTGTACTTTTACGAGATAAGTTAAATAGCTTTAATATTAAAATAAAATCGAAACGTGTTTTTAATTAGTATGGGATATAGAAAGTTGCATCTTTATCGATATCTTAAAATTAATGTATTGTTCATTTTTCCAAACTCCATTATGGTGCAGGAACACCATAAAACTCGACATTATCTGCACACACAACTACAATCACATAAGTTCATGAACAAAATCAACTTGTTTCACGAAAAAAAAAAAGAAAAAAAAGAAAAAAAGAAAACTTTTGGCGAAATTACATACCTGTTGGGTTTAAGATCATTGTCCCAACTTTTTCCAAATCGTGGAATATCTTCAGTTTTCAGAAAGATATATAGATCGTGGAAGGTCTGGGTTGTTTTTAGAAAAGGCATGAGATTTTTTTTTTCAAATTTGGTAAACCACGTTTGTTACGCTAATCACCAATTTTTTAGAAATTTAATTGTTTATTGTATATAAGATAATATCTGTTAAGGAAGTCGTTGATATGATGAATCTTTTAGAAGGTAGTAAATATGTAGATTGATACTTAGAAATCTCGTAGATACTCCCTCCATTTTGAAATATAAGACATTTAAGGTTATTGCACAAATATTAAGGAGACATTAGTTAATGAATAAATTGACTAAATTAACCTTATTTATTCTAATCACAACCACTCCACACTTTCTTAATTTCAACACAATGAGGGTATATTTAGAAAAAAATGCAAAAATTTGTCTTGATTTTTTAGCGCGCCTTATATTTCAAAAAAATTGAGAAATCTTTATACGCCTTATATTTGAAAACACATAGTTTATAATGTAGTTTCAAATATAGTAATGTAAAAACAGCCTGTTATCAGACTTTCCTTTTTATTGGGCTCCTACTTATTTTATATTCTTTCTTTGTCCTTCTTTTATTTTTTGAAATTTGGCTTTCTAATCTAAGCTATATGTTAAGATTATGTCCTAGTCATTGATTATGACTACCTTAGTATATCCTCATCTCTCATATTTCTCAATGGTTTTGACATACAAAAGAATTACAGTGGGTTAAATAATAAACAAATTCTTAAAACACATGGACCATTCTTACTATCTCTCATTTTTCCTTTCAATGTCTCTTCTGGGATCAGTTTTGATTTCTATTGTTATCTATCATCATTTTTGATTAGCCGTACGTCTAAAGTTTGAGATTAAATTTCTAGAGGTGTGCCATTCTAATACATGGTCGGCAATCCACTTGTGCAATGTCTTATTTAAGTTTCATACCCCTGCTTATATGTGTTTGACTTTAATATCATTAATTTTTGTATTTCCTTTAGAAACCATAAAATGAACTCATACTAGCATCTCAACTTTGTAAGCTCTTGTAATAAATTGTGTGTAAAAACCAGCAAATTAGAGTGGCTACTTTTTCAACTCCTTCATACTTTTGCTTCAATAGAGGAGCATCCCATGAGAAGAAGAGAAAGGTTACATTTAATGGACATTTATTTATCAAACACTGCCAAGCTATGGGAGAAAGAAAACGCACGCATGACAATAAATGAACCCTACCTACTCTAATCTTTTTCTCTATCCCTAGAATTATGTCTTATTAATGCCACCTGCATATATATTAGCACCAATTAGTGTGTGCATTATTTATTGTAAAGAGGAGAAAAAGTTACAACCATCCAATCCCAATTCCCAAGAATTACTATTGTTTTGAATTTCCTCTTGAGTACTCTAATCTTCATGCATGTGTTTTTTTAGCTTTACTTTCATTTTTTTAGTTTTGTTTTGATTAGCATATAAACATTGGTGAATTTAGTAAAAGGGATGGTAGTTATTTGCCACTCTTACTTTGAGGATGTTTAAGAAACACATATCACTATAGTAAAAGGAATAAAAATACATGCTGTTAATAATTATTGTTCCCAAAATGTTAAAACTCTTGCATCATCATTGTTTTGGAAGGACATTGAGTACTACTTATTTTGTTAATGCTATTTTGAAAAGTCTGAAAAAGTAGATTACTTGAATTAACCAGGCCTTTTCCTGCATAGAGATGCTTTTTTAAGTACAAATGTTAACTTTTAACTACACCTTCAAAGGAAAAAGGTAAAATCTACCTCGTGGCATGAATTTTCCAACACTTGAAACAAAGCTTCACTTTTTTTCACCAAATAAAAGAACAAAAACAATTGATACGAGAAAGGGTCACAAACTGAGTTCACAAAACAAGAAACCCAAAAAGACTTGGAAACAAAATAAAATAAAATCTACAACTACAAACTACCACTAAATACTACAAACCTATCCAATATTTCCATTTTCAATTTCATCTTCTTTTTTCTCAATTCTTGATATTTGTTGCCTGATATGCAATTTAAGTACAATTTTCTTCTCCTTCTGATTATCTCTCATTCTCTGTTAGAACCCAAAATATAATGCCCAGACCAAAAGCGATGTTTTCATATTCTGAATTGCAATGAATCTCGAACTTTGCACTGCTAGAGACTTTGTTTGTTGCTCATCCTCAGAGTCCCAAAAAGATATAGTAGACTAGAGTTATGGGGAGAGCCACCAGCATTCCAAATATAACCCTGAAAAATTTACAGATGCATGTAAGATTCAGAACAAGGGCACACACCAAAATAACATTTTTCCGAATAAATAACGATAAAATTACAAAAAATGTACTCGAGTTTTCATTGTCATACAAATCAAGAAAAGTTTAGTTGCAATAAGTGAGTTAGACTATACTTAGCTTCCTAATCACTCCATTTTAAGAGATAATTAAGTAAATAATCATTACTAACCCGGTGCTAAGTATGTCCGGATGAACATTGTATTCCTTAGCAAAGACAAAAGGCACAATCCCTTGTGGTAGAGCAGCCTGCAAAAATCAAATCATCGAGCATGTTAAAAATTCCTCCACAAAAAAAAAAGGAACATAATTTCTATAATTACTGTAGTAATTAGTCATTTGAATAATAATTAATTACCTGCACAATTGCAACTCGCAAAAGCACGCCTCGAAGCCCAACAGCAATAGAAGCAGCCGCCATAACTGCAGGGCCCGTTAAAAACCGAATGGCCATGGAGAAAGCAGCCACTGATTTACCACACGCGATGATTCTTGGCTGCAATGCCATAAACAACCCTGCATTTTCCAAGATATTTTATTAATCGTTCGAGTTAAGGAAAAAAAAATTACTACTATAATTTTCTTAGTTAAAAAGTCCACTTTTTTACTCACCAAGACTGAACATAGCCATTCCAAGACCCGCATCCGACAAAATGGATATCGACTTTGCTATTATGGCCGGCATCTCAACATGCCACCTGCAAGAAGAAAAAAAAATCAGATTTTTAATTTTTTTTAATTTTTTTTCAAATAAGATATGAACATTAAAGATAGAATAAAATTTTGACAAGATAAAATTATTACTTGAAGGAGACTAAAGACCAAGTGAGTCCAATGAGACTCGAGTAAGTGTTTGGATTTCGAATAAGTTTTCGCCAAACCATGATTAGGATAAGCCTAGTCATCACGCTAGTTGGCGGCATTGCAGTTGGCTTTGTCTCGACACTAGCCTTCGGGTGAAGCTCGGCAGTCGAGCTCGACCCAAGTTTAGACAAAACGGGCCCTTCACGCTCAGTCGCGTTCGGGCCTTGCTTGTTTGCAAAGCTATATTTATCACGACCAAAATCATCGTAATCTGCATCATGAGTTTGGGTGAACTTCACAATCAATGACATTAATTAAATAAAGATAGTGAGATGATTATGTAATAAAAAATGGAAGCATGTGACAATAGAAGACAAATGGAAGCCCAGATTTCAGGGGAGGTTTGCAATGCTAATAACAAACTAAGAACAGAAAATCATCACACAATTGAAGGGAACTCTTTATGAAAAGGACACAAACAAACAGAGCCCACTTGAAGAACGAAAAACCTAAAAAAAGGAAAGTGAGGTCCTCGGAAAGCGACAAAGGCAGTTACATCAATAGGAAAGTGAAGCTTCATTAAAGAAGATCAACCGTATTTGCTAAACCTCATTCAATAATCTCAATTTCTCCTCAACAACAAGACAACCAAGCTCAAATGTAAACATCGAGAATCAAGACCTTTGCATCTTAATTCAACCTAAATAAACTAAGCCCATAACAAATCAATACAAAAACCTTATTTAAGCCCAAGACTCAAACTTTAGCATCAACTAATCAAGAAACAACAATCTTACATTTCTATTGGACCTAAAAACATAGCACAAAGTAACATAAACTCAAAAAAAAATAAAAGAAGATTAAAAATCTAACCTTTAGGATGAGCTCCGACATTCGCCTCGTTCCCATAATCCCCACCTCTGAAGACATGAATCCCCCCTTCAGAAACAGGGGATGCACTCGAACTCCAGACAAACATGTGAAGATCCTTCCCATTTTCACCCTTCTTCTTCGGGCCACCCGGCCCGGGAGAGAACATCCCGTTGGCCCGAGCCTGGCCCGCGTACCCTCCCTCCTCGTCATACCCGGCGTTCCCATAATTCGACTGCCGGGGACTCACGTTCCTCCCGTTCACCATCGAGTAGAAGTCCGTGTGGTTAAAGCTCGAGCCCCTCGGCGTAGGGTTCCTCGACGACTGCAGGGAATAAATCTCGGCGTTGGTCAAGTTCGACGGCCGGGGGGTCAACGATAGCCCGGAGTTCGGCCCGCCGCCGTGAGACCGCCGCGAGAAGATCTCCGACCTCGAGCTGGCCGACTTCCTGACCGTGACGTGGAGCTTGCCGTCCTCCCCGATCTCGGCCTCCGTCTGCAGCGGCTCCTTCCCGTCGAGCGAGATGATGTCCGAGTCGACCCGGAACGAGATGATGGACCCGGCCGTGTCGGGGAACTGCTCGGCGATGAGGGTGCGGGCGCCCCTGTACTCGAAGAGGAAGAGCATGAGGGTGTACCAGATTATGCACTGGAGTACGACGATCTGGACCATGAGGCTGCCGGAAAACTCGCCGTACATGCCTTTCAGAAGGGGGATGCCCATGACGAGAGTGTTGGGGAGGGTGGAGAGGGAGAAGAGGGTGATGGACCACTCGAGGGAGCCGCGGCGGCTGGTGTGGGACCAGACGGCGAGGACGGCGAGGACGATGAGCTTCTGGAGGGTGTCGGCGGCGATGAAGCGGAGGTTCATGGTGTAGGGATCGTTGGTGGAGATGAAGTGGAAGGAGAGGAGGGGGACGGCGAACAGAGCCACGAAGCGGTTGATGCCGGAGCACTGGTCGGGGGTGAAGATCCGCCACCACTTGACGGAGCCGTAGGCGAGGATCATCGCCACGTACAGGGGGACCACGGCGGTCATCACGTGGTAAAAGTCAGTGCCCGTTATCATTTTTCTGGTTTTGATTTTGTGTTTTTCTTTTTTCCCTGCAAGATTGGGTTTTTAATGGAGTTTCTTCGCTGGGATGAAGATGGGTTTTTTTTTTTTTTTGTTTTGTGTTTTATTCTGCAAGATGGGATTTTTAAGGGAGTTTTTTTGCAGGGATGAAGATGGGTTTTTTAAGGGAAGCGAGCTACGAGAAGGTTTTTCTGTTTAATCAAGAAAATGGGGAGAGCTTTGAGCTGAAATTTCTCTGTCCATTTTAATGGCGGTGTTCGTTGGTAGTGCAAAAGAAAAAAGTGATCTTGAAAAAGGACTGCAAATGGGTTTATGAAGGACGAATTTGATTTCCTTTTTCTTGGCTGTACTTCAGTCTGTGTGTGTGTGTGTGTGAGGGACATGAGAAAACATATAGGGAAAAGATGACAGGGGGAAATGATGTGGAATTATTTTAAAGAGGAATTATTAAAATGGCAGACAATGAAATAAAAGCTGAGGCCTTTTGAGAAGGCTTAATTTAGTCTTTTGATGGGGAGAGAGAAAGAGAGAGAGTTGTAGAGACTAGAGAGAGAGAGAAAAGGAAAAAAAAAGGTACCACAAAATAAACAGAGGTTTTTACAGAGGGGGACATTAGTGCATGCAGTGTACTGTGTGTGTATCATATGCGTGCTAAAATATCATAATGAATGAAGGGTGCGGTGTTCTTGATTTCTACAAATAAAAAAGTAGTATTACTTTTTTTTTTTTTTGGCACTCCATAAAACCGATTAATTGTTCTCAACGGATCTTTTTCTTCATTTTACATCCCAATTCATGATGAATAATACACACATCAGCCCAATTTATATATAGATTACTTTTATCTTTAGTAGTATAAATTTGTTGGTCTCACTTGTAGTTTTTACATTATTCACATGAATTAGGAATACTAATAGAAAGCCTCCTTGGAAAATCAGGAAAAATACATATAACATGCAACATTAAATCATTATTGAGTTCTTAGAAATTTCTCCTCTTTGTAAAAAGTAAAGTCTTCGACAGTACCAGAAGCGTGGCATCATCGATCCTGCTTAGAGTGTCATATGAAGTTTTGACTATTGATTTACACATACATACACATAACCATGTAAAGTACTCTAGATATGTTTTCATGTAAAAAAAAAAACTTTATATTGAGAGTTATAGATTATTTTACATAATCTATATCTTCTCATATAAAAGTTATAAGTCTCTCCTCTAATTTCTCACTTTTTTTACACCTTCACAACCAGTCCGATTAGGCCTGACCAAGTATCTTTATTATGCGGTCAATTGAGATTAGTACTAGTTGTCTTCGATTTCCCTCTCCTTATAGTCGTTTTTTTTTGTCATATATATGTCGTGCTTGACCAAGTATCTTTATTATGCGGTCAATTGAGATTGGTGCTTGTTGTCTTCGATTTCCCTCTCCTTATAGTCATTTTTTTGGTCATATATATGTCGTGCTCCGGTCCTTATCGAATCTGATTAGATAGCTACTTTGACTTTCAACTATCATCAATAAATTTTTTATTATTTATACATCACACCAACTCTAATTATGGTATTTTTATTATCTCATACATTTACAATTATCTTTAAAAAAATCCATTTTTCCATCTCTACTTTTGCGGGATACTTTACAAAAAATAGTAATAATAAATTTCTTATCCAAGGGTAGCCTCATGTTATGAAAGGCCTAAGTCTCATTTCTATTTTATAACTTTAATTAAACAAATCCATAAACATACATCTAACACTACCATCTCTTCATTTAGAAATTTTGTAAAGGAAAACAACCATCATGCCAAATGCATAATAATGAATAATAAAAAATAAAAATAAAGGGAGAACATTTTCATGTTTGCATTTACTATTTAGTATAGATGAGTGGGGAATATGTTGCAGCAGTTTTAGNAAATAACAGAAAAATAGGTCTTAATTTTGCAAAAGAGCCATTACAAAGATTCCATCTTTTCTACATTTTATAAGAGAATTTACATTTGATTTCATGGATATAGCTTGTTTCAGTCTTTACGAGTCATGCTAAATCCCAAACTAAATAAACAAGTAAATAAATATATAATCATAGTAGTTGTAAACAGAGAAATGTCCAAAAGGGCCTTAATTTGCATAAGTGCCATTACAAAGATTATTATTATTTTGTTCTGCTTTTTGCTGGAGAGTTACATTTTATTTCATAAATCTAGGTTTGTCTCAGTCTTAATGAGTTGTGCTACAACGCAATATAACTGATTAAAATAAAATAAAACACATAGATAATCATATTAAACAGAGAAATGTTCAGAGTGGTCTTAATTTGTATAAGTGTCATTAATTACAAAGATTCCATCTTTTCTACTTTTTGCAAGAGAAGTTACATTTGATTTCATGAATTTAGGTAGTCTCAATCTTTACGAGTCATGCCAAATCCCAAAATAAAAGAAATAAATGTATACTCATAATAAACAGATCAGAATTTAATGAATTTATATTTGAATTTAGGTTGTCTCAATCCCAACATTTGATTTAACATTTTATTTAATGAATTTAGGTTATTCAATGGCCCAGTTCAACATTTTTCCTTGCCACTCTCTTTCCTCAATTCATGCAAAGATCGTGATATTTCATATTCGACCCAAAGTTACTATCCTTTTTCTTTTCCGTTTGTTAGATGCAAAAGGCTTTGAGTAACTGAGATTGAGAATGTGAAATTGGTGTGCAATTAATTCTATATCAATTTCATACATTTTTTTTTTTAAATTATTCTATATGTCACTCGGTTTCATCGAAACTAAGACGAGCTTAGGAGTTGTGACCAAAGACCAAAGTGAATAAGAAGTAGAATTTGATAAAATATGGGATTTTAATGATTTATATAAAATGCAAAGCAAGTTAAAATGTGCAAACAAAAACAAGAATTGACAAGTGAGGACAGTGGTTAATTAGTAATTACACTGCATATATCTCCATTGATCAGGTGGTCCTTGGAAGAATCTTTGAGACATATACACAACAAACTGTGATGAACAAAAAAAACTGTCTGAACAATAAGACAGAGCTAATTGGCTTTTTTTCTGTTAGATGTGTCACATATTTTCATGCTAAGGAACTGAAATAGACTCAAAAGAAAAAAAGTGAGAGTGACATTGCAAAATTGGGAGAAAATGAGAAAGAAACATATGAGAGGAATAAAATCCTAAAATTGCTGGAATAATTAGGGCAGAAGGGAGCAGATGGAATCTAAAACCAGACATCCCTTTTTATTTTTATTTTTATTTTTATTATTTTATTTTATTTTATTTATGAGGAGCAACACTATTCCACATGTCACCAGCATATGTAATGATGGGATATATTGGATGGCACAAGACAATCCACACTTTGTAATCCTGTTGATATCAAGATTTAAAACCACTCTTCAAGATTATTTTCCACTTTATTTATGCCATTGGGTCGATTTATTGCAATGTCTTTAAGCCCGGCATGAAAAGTTTTGGTCAAATAGATTTGGGTCAACTAGTTCTTTTTGCTTAAATCGATCATGATTAACTTATATTCGGCATGCTTGAATGATGTGTTTGGCAAGTATATAAGCCTAAATTATAACTTATTTTATTAACTTATAATTTTCTTGTATTCATATGCACTTAGTTTGATAAGACGAGTTTTTTAAAAAAAATTAAACTTATTTTTTAAGTTTTTTTGGATAGCTTTTTAAATAAGTTTGATGAAATTTTTATTTCAGTTAGTTTTATCAAACAATTTTATTATTTAAGTTAGTTTTTTAACTATAAATAATAAACTATCAGATATAAACTCAAAATTCACTTAAAAGCTATAACCTAATTTATGAGTTAAATTTAACAAACATAGTCTTAACTCTCAAACCAGGTGTATTATTTTATAACGGAAAAGCCATTTTGATGACAATTCACACTGAAGTTTTAACCGTTTAATTTGGCAATTAAAACACTATTGGGTAATTAAAAAGTCTAGATAATAGTAATACATATTTGCATGGGTCAACGAGCCAACACAAAAGTAAAGTCAAGATTTTGTATACTCAATATTCACTTCAAACTCAAGCATGTTGGTTTAGCTTGAAACGCAATAACATTACTGTTTTGCAGCGTGTAATAAACTAATAATAATAATTGAGTAAAAGTAACAGTTGACAATTGAAATTCCTCCAACCCTCGTCAAAACAGCTTTGTATAAAAAAAAAAGCTTTGTATAGAACAATGTTGGACAATTTATAAAATTGAATGAATGACGTGGATATAAAATGTAGCAACAAGCGAGCCGTTCCCTAAAGGCTAAAACTCTAGCCTGCTAAATTACAATGTTCCTTTTAAGTTTGGGCTGGGTCGGTAATCAGGCCCAAGTGTTGTATCCAGCATAATAAGTCCAATGATTTATGAGCTCCAACAATAACAACAACTATAATAACAATAACAACAACAACAACAATAATAATAATAATAATAATAATAATAATAATGATAATAATAATAATAATAATAATATTAGAAATGCTCAATTACCTATCGTGGGTACATTACCGACCATTTGTTAAAATTTTAGTTTGTTAAAATTTTAGATAATGTTTCAGCGAAATAAAGAATGACATAAAATTTGACATAATAACATGTGTCATGATCAACTTTACACATCACATTAATTTTTAAAATAAAAAATAATTATACATCCACCTCATTTTGGTCATCCATTATGTCAATATATTATGTTAACATATCATAATTCTAAAATTTTATGGTCTATGAACACCACACTCGTGTTTGACATGGTAAACTTATGTGGAGAGGATAATTGCTCACTCATGAGCATTTAATAAAACTTATTAAATTATTTAATAACTGTTGTCCTCAAAAAATTATTATTTTTTATTTATTTAACCTCTCATTTAATATTAGATAATCAACACACTAATCACTTTAAAATTACAAAAATTATTTTAAACTTTTGATTTACTTACAACTGACCATATAATGTGTTTACTATTTTAATGTGATAGATGTGATTGTTGTGGTTACATTTATATTAACTTCTTTTGAAAAATAAAAAACGTATTTGAAATTTCTTAATAATTAATAAATAATTCACAAAAAAAATACATACCAAAATATACATTACATCCAATATGATAAACGCAAATTTTAAAAAATAAATATTTTAGCTCTTTTAATTGTAAATTTAGCCTACAAAATAATGCGAGAAAAATCATTAATCATTATATGTATACAAATTACTCACAATATTTTATTTATATATGTCCAAATGCACACGTCGAATATTAGTTTGATGGTCTTTTGTACAAAATACCAATTTGGTTACCACTAGTGATAAGCCTGAAAAATGTTACCACGTCATTGATAGCTTCCATTCGAAAAAAGTGCAATTGGCACCACTTTTTTGACCCTTACAAACACATTGATTGGGAGACGGTGTGATTCACTATTATATATATATATATATATATATATTTTTATATAGTATTAAATGATGCCTGTTTTGACAACATATATTGATATTATTAAAACTTTTCTAGAAACATTTATTTGTGAAAACAATCAAAAAAATGACAGCCATTTATTTTATTTATTCGAAAAAAAAAAATTTGATAGTAAATAAAATAAAATATATATTTAAATGCTTGCACCAACCGCTCTCTCACGCATCAACACAAACAGAAGACAAAAGTCGAGATGCCACCGGAGACCAAAATCGGCGTGGCTAGCAGCTTGGAGCCGTGGCTCGAGCTCAACGACAAAGTCGTTATGGTAACCGGCGCGTCTTCCGGGCTGGGCCGCGGCTTCTGCTTGGACCTGGCCAAGGCCGGCTGCCGAATTGTGGCCGCCGCCCGGCGAATCGACCGCTTACAGTCACTCTGCGACGAGATCAACGCCGGCTCAGTCGAGCCGAGAAGAGCCCAACCCAGAGCCGTCTCCGTCGAGCTCGACGTCACCGCGAGCGGGCCAGCCATCGAGGCCTCTGTGAACAAGGCCTGGGATGCCTTCGGAAAAATCGACGCTTTGATTAACAATGCCGGCCTTAGAGGTAAACCCCAGATGTGAATTTTTTTCGAAGTAAATGAAATTAGATTTAGCTAATTGTTAAAGGCTTTTTCTGGGCTGCGCTTAAAATTGAAAAAAGTTTTGATCTTTAATCTTTAATCCCCTGTAGATTGCCTAATCAGTAGCTTAATTAATTAGCCCGTTTATTCTGTCAATCATTAATGTGTACCCTACTAATTTGTAGATGTTGTTAGTAGCAGGGTTTTGCCATTATTAAATGCTCAGAAAACTATTGGCAAATATGGTTAGATAAACCCACAATTTGTTGACAATAAGGGATTTTATTCAATAATCCGGCTCGGTGGTTTGATTATGCTTAACCTGTTCGTTCTTAAGCCGTAGCTTCTTGTTCTGATTTTAGTTTTCAAAAAAACCAGGCCATGTGAGGATAATATTGATATGTGTATGTAGTTTTGAGATGTCAACTTATTTCAATGAGAGTGTTTAGCGTTATTCATCGGCCTAACTAACTGTAAACTTTTAACTTAAAGGTAGCGTGCATACCCCATTGGATTTGACAGAAGATGAATGGAACAATATAGTGAAGACTAATATGAGGGGTGTTTGGTTGGTCTCAAAGTTCGTTTGTACTCACATGCGTGATGCTCGACTGTGTGGGTCTGTCATAAATATCTCCTCCATCGCGGGTCTTAATCGGGGGAATTTACCAGGAAGCTTTGTTTATGCTGCCTCTAAAGCTGCTGTTAACACAATGACAAAGGTAATATTTTTGAAATCAAATGCATTTTCCCGGCATATCACGATATATGCGTTTTGGTTTGTGCATTTTGCTTTGTTGCATCAAATTTGCAGTTTTGTAGAATTTCTTGATATGATTGTTTGATTGGGAAAATGAGGAAATACGGGTTTTGTGTGTAGTTGCATTAAACGTGATTGTTTTGCTAATAGACTGTAATGAAACTTAAGTTCCTATAATGTTGAAGTTATGCTTATTGTTAAACATGGAAACCCAGAAAATTTCTTTAAGTGTAACACAAAGTAAACTACATTAAATCAATTGTTAATATGTAACTTTAAAATTCAACAATAAATTAAATAGTTTTGAGTATAGTACAAAGCTTTTTATTATATGGCACTGTTTGACTATACCTTGTTTTCACGCAGATCATGGCCATGGAGCTCGGTATATACAAAATAAGAGTCAACTCTATATCTCCCGGACTATTCAAATCAGAGATAACACAAGATCTGATGGAAAAGGATTGGCTCAAGAAAGTCGCTATAAAAACTGTTCCTTTAAGAACTTTCGGCGAGTTTGATCCTGCACTAACGTCATTAGCACGATATTTGATCCATGACTCATCTGAGTATGTATCGGGCAATGTGTTGATTGTGGAGGCAGGGGCTACATTACCTGGTATTCCAATTTTCTCATCGCTTTAGAGCAAAAAGGATGTTTACTTGTTCTGTGTGTCTGTTTCGCTTTGATCATGGAAAAACTTTAAGTTTGCGTGTAGAGTTTATTTTGTAATGCTATTTTCTGTGTTTTTTGCACAAATATAGTCCTTTAAGTAATGTTGATGTACAGTCCTTTAACTCTCCTGCAATGTGTGTCGAAGAATTAAATTAAGCTTGATGGATATTTGTTGACATCGTCCTTGCATATCATCGTGTATGAATTATGTATGAAGAACTAAAAATCAATTTGGCACGTTGAAGAAATAGGATTTATTGTGTATTGGTCATGCATAACTTTAAGACAATTATAGTTTTGAATAAATACGCATACTTTAATATTTATAAGCAAAATGTAATAAGACAAAAGCATGATATTATAAAATTTAATTCAAATAATATGATAGATAGATCAATCATTTTAACCGTTATTGTGTGGTGCCAAAAGTGAAGACACTTTGTAAACCATGTATCAATCTTTCATTAACGCGTCATAACAAAAAAACAATGTAATTTAGAAACAAATGACAAAAATAAACTAAAATAAATTATTTACAATTGTGAAAGTTTTTTAATTTTTTTGGTTGCTAGTAGCTTGTACAAATTATATATATTCTCAAGACGCTTCTATGTTGACCTTACTCAGAATTAGCTTAAAACTTTATTCATAATTAGCTTTTTATGACCAAAAAGTAGTTGAAATAAGTTTTTAAGTTTTTTACTAAACAAGCAAAAGGTCAACTACTAAATCAATTTTTTTTTTTTTTTTGCAACAGCATATTCTATTAATAAAATACATTACAAGCGTCTAACTAGTGGACTGAAACAACTAAACAACTTAATTCAAAAAGAGTCCTAAATGATGAGAACACTTGAATAAATTAAACTAAGTGCAATGGTAGAGAATTCTAGCTCTAAAAATAGAGAATACAACACCAAATAAAACACACTAAACACAAGGGGCCGACGCTCAGAACTCCAACCGAAATCGTTGATCTAGAAACTCCATTACACATTTGGTTGATTGAATCCATTGATCTAGAAACTCCAACCCAATGATAAGTCGATTTCAAGTTTTAATTGAGTTAAACCGAAAATTAAGTCGAGTCCACGAACGGCTCCAACCCAATGATAAGTCGATTTCAAGTTTTAATCGAGTTAAACCGAAAATTAAGTGGCTCGATTAGTCTAAGTATATTAAACCCTTTTTTTCTCCCTAAAATTCCCAAAAATATTTTTCCCATTATCTGTAGTTTCTCCTTAAGTTTTTGTCATGCTGTCGTCGTGCTCTTGCCGAGTAATTTTTTATTCCTTCCTTCCCTGATTGAAGCTTCTTTTCACGTTTGTCATTTCTATTCTATCTCAATTTATAATGATTTCGCGTGATTTTTCTATAAGTTCTTGATTACTCTTCTCGTATGGCGAGCTTCTACCGGGTCTGATCTTTATTTATTTATTTTCAATTTTTCTCTCTTCCTTTCCCACAGCTGTTTCGATGTTGTCGGAATCTGCCTACAAGCTCTCGAGGTTGAGGTCCGTCCAGCCCAGAAAATATTTTTCCATTTTTGCCCTTTGTGGTGGTATGGGAGGTGAAAGAGGCGATGCTCGCAGTTGCCCGGAACAATTTGGGTAAGTTGGACTTTCCAAATGAGTAAGAAACTAATGGGCCTGTTTGATTTTCAGTTTTTACTTTGAAGAATTATTGAGTTCCGACTGAAAAACTGCGCCTTGTGAAGTTTGAAGATGCAACCCTCTTTTCCTTTATGAAGTTTGGAGTTTTTTTTGTCTTTTATGAGTGTTGAAGTTACTCCTCTCAGTACTTCTCGGGCCACCTTCAAATTACTCATGAATTTTGTAATTTGCTTTTTGTGGAACAAGAGATTACAAATCAGGTCTACATGCTGTTTTTGTTACTTGTGATGGGATCTTGAACATTTTAGGATATTGGCTTTATGTGTTTCTTCTTTTGAGAATGACATTAGAAACATTTCCTATGTAGCAAGAGTAATGGAAAAGAAGCATCTTTATTGAAAAGTGAGACAAAGCGGCCATCCTTCAATTTTTCGTTTGGTCGAGAACCTGAATTAGTTGGATTTGGCACTTTACGGGCAGTAACTCGTCATTTCAGCTCCCAGCATGAAGCAATAGATATAAAACACAAGGTACTCTCTTGGTTTATGTGAGTACTCGGTGCAATTTCCTGCAAGGAAATGTTTTTATGTAGTTTAGCAGTGTACTAAAGAGCAAAAATTTATTGTCCATTGCAAATGGAGCTGGAAGAGTCATTGTTGACAATTCTCCTGGCATAGTGTTAATAATGGACTAGATCAAAATGGCTCAATTAAATTCTAGTGCTTCTTCTATTAGTGAAGTTTCTAGAAAAAAAAAAAATATATCAAACGGCGCAATGCACCTTGGGTCGCTACGGAAACAGCCTCCTTGTATAATTACAAGGGTAAGGTCTGCGTACAACTGACTCCCCAGACCCCAACCTGTTGTTGGGAATATACTGGGTATGTTGTTGTTGTTGTACTAAAGAGCAAAAATTTTTTTGGCCTGAAAATTCGATACATCAACATTGAGTCTTACTGGAAAATTGCTCATTTCTAATTCGCATATGCTCTCAGAAAATAACAGAAAAAAGAAAAAAGATTCTTGGTGTTACTTTACATTTAAGTGACAAGGCATTGAGGATAACTGAGGAAGACCTTCAGTTTAAGATTCATGCCAAGTGTATCGGCTTAAGGTTATGACTTATGACATTGATTTGCAGTTGATGGGTTCTATCCCTAAATTCGTAAAGATAGTCGAAGTTGGTCCACGAGATGGGCTGCAAAATGAGAAGGAAATTGTACCAACTAATGTGAAGGTGGACTTGATAAAGATGCTCGCATCTTCTGGTTTGCCTGTAGTTGAAGCTACTAGTTTTGTCTCACCAAAATGGGTACCTCAGGTATATATGGTTTTTACTAACAGGATCTTCGCAATACTACGCGAATTCTGTATTCTGCCCCAAAATCCTTCGATTTCTTTGATTATTTGACAATTGTACAAGTCTTTTTTGGACTATAATTTTAAGTTGATTCATTGTGGTAAAGTATGACTACAGCTAGCTGACAGTAAGGATGTGATGTTGGCCATTCGGGACATCGAGCATTGTAGGTTTCCTGTTTTGACTCCGAACATGAAAGTAAGCTAGGGTTTCAACTTTTCATGTCCGTTTATTACCATTAAGCATTCACCTCAGCAGCCTCCTCTCTTTTCTTTCTTTTTTTTTTTCTCCAAATTCTTTGTAAAACCTTTCATGGATTTTCCAGGGTTTTGAGGCTGCTTTGGCATGTGGAGCAAAAGAAGTGGCTGTATTTGCTGCAGCATCTGAGTCATTTTCCCGTTCAAACATAAATTGCAGCTTTGTAGATAGTCTTGCTCGATATCGTGAAGTTGCACTTGCCGCTAAACAACACTCTATTCCAGTTCGTGGGTATTTGACTTGTGCTTTGACAAATATTTGCTTCTGGTGAAAGTTCAACATTTTTTTTCCCCCCAAAACACCATGTTTAGCTCTTTGAGTTTTGAATTTGTGCTTAAGCTTTAGAATTCTTGCAGATATATATCGTGTGTTGTGGGTTGTCCAGTTGAAGGGGCAGTGCCTCCTTCGAAAGTAGCATATGTTGCTGAAGAACTTTATAAAATGGGTTGTTCAGAAATATCTCTTGGTGATACAATTGGAGTCGGCACTCCTGGTATAGTCGAATCTTTTTGAATTTTCATCCACTTCTAATTAATTTCATAACCAAAAGGGAAAAAAAAAGAAAAATAAATAAATGCCAAAGTTGTAACATATATTAGTGTGTGTTTTCATTTCATTGTGTCAGGTACTGTGATCCCAATGCTTGAAGCTGTTCTTAATGTTGTTCCATTAGAGAAGCTTGCTGTACACTTTCACGACACTTACGGGCAAGCCCTTTCAAACATTCTCTTATCACTCCAGGTAAAGTTTCTTCCCAGTGATGATATTTATTATTATTCCTCAGTGATTACTCTGCCTAATTGAGCTGTGACCAGTTAAATTTGAAAATGGTATCATCTGATTGGGATACCGAACTTCATACAGAATCGTACGGGTTCATAATGATCCATTCAAACAAAAAACTAAAATATATTTGTGAAAAAATTATCTCGAACTATAAAGGACTCTTTAAAAATTACGTAAATGAATGAGTAAAGAGGATGTTTGGATACAAGTTATCCCAAAGAAGTCCAATCAATTTTAAACCAATCACTTTTTTTTTTTAAAAAAAAAAAAACTCAAATCTAACTTAATTTTAACACAACCCCACTATCCTCAATATTATCAATATAATTAAATAATATCAATCGATCATTTTTACACATTGCATCAACTTTAATTTACTATTCATCCACTCACATAATTTTAACCAACAATCACTTCACATCGCTTCTTTCATACTTTTAATCAAATCAACTTTATTTATTTATTTTTAAATATTGTATACCACATTTTTCAATATATCCAAATCGTGTTTTTTTTCTTTTTTTTTTTTTTTTGGTTGGCCGATTTTGCGATGTTACAGATGGGTATCAGCATTGTGGATTCCTCCATATCGGGCCTTGGTGGGTGCCCGTATGCAAAAGGAGCTACTGGAAATGTGGCCACTGAAGATGTTGTCTACATGCTTAATGGGCTGGGCGTCCAAACAAATGTGGATCTTGGAAAACTTATTTGGGCCGGCGATTACATTTCCAAGCATTTGGGCCGGTCGTCTGGTTCGAAAGCTGCAACTGCATTAAGAAGAATCTTGGCTAATGCCTCCAAGCTCTAATAATGCCTTTTAATGGATGAAAACAAAGAAAGAACTAAAACAAAGAAAAATAAAAAGGTATCTTTATACATCATAAAACCATGAACTGGATATTTAATTCTGATGAACATTTTGGGACTTTGTGAAGTGACTTGAATTCGATCCAAGTAAAACTCAGTTGTGTATGTGTGTGTAAATTTTGATTGTTTGTCTTAAGCTTTTTATTTGTCCCTTTTCACTGAGGCTTGTTTTAATCTTGATGATGTCAGCATTTGTGCACATATGAGGCTTGCATTGCATTAAATTAATTAAAATCATCATTTTTGCTAGTAAGTACTTTATGGCCACTTATTACATTTTCTTGAATTAAATTTTTTTAGTAACAAATACATATCACATGTGATGTAACAACTACCAAATTTTTATGGTCAAACAATTCCATGCAACAGTCATTATTATATGCTTCATTCCTGATGTAATTTGGTTTTTGCAAATATTTAATTCCCAATAATTTACAAATGGGACAAAATGTAGTAGGATGGAGTAAAATCCACTCAATCATACGTATCATCATTTTTTTAAATAAATATAAAATTAAAAAAATATATATATAATTTTGTCATGAAAAAAATATATATATAATTTTGTCACGCTTAGCTATAAATTTATGGCCGAAAGGGATTGAAAGTGGTGGGACCTAAAGATTTGAAAAAAAAAAGTTGCTTAAATTTTCGTACTTATGCATGAGTGTGCCTTTTGATGTTTCCTTCTTAATGAGCAAAAACACAGGCCAATTTAAAAAATTTTCTTGATGCTCTCAAGTGAAATTACATACATGCATCATTTTCATGTACTATATAAGCTAATTAAATTATTATGCTAAAAAATAGATCGTATCCATTCAAATATTATATTTATATTTTCATATAGTATGCAACTTAATACTTCATGATTTTATACACTTCGTGTACCTTATAAGCTAAATTATTATTATTATTATTAGTTTGGCAATATCTTCCACAAACCTTTGTTGCTACCAATCCATATACATATGTACATGCACGCGCCAAAGAAATTTAGAGATAAGGAAAAATATATTTGTTATTTTGTATGATTATAATTATAGTGATCATCATCAATTAACAATAGATTTGGTGATAATTAACAATGGCGTACGTGTTGGGTTCAACTGCAGCAAATATATATCTAAAACAAAAACCAATGCTAAAAAATAACTTAATACTTACAATTTTTTAAAAATACTTTATATGCAAACATATTATCCCCATCAATAATTACATCCTATTTTAACAAATCTCCTCTACGTACCACCTCTTGAATTTCATTACTTCTGGATATTGTAATTATAATTTATAAAAAGACCTACTTAATTTACTTCTTTTATGCTTTATGCTTATTGATTATTAAGAAATACAAGAAAAAAATTGTAACACATCTTAGCAATATATATTAAATTCTTTGCTCCAACCAAAATTACAAAATGAAAAGAAAATAAAACCAATACCTCCTCAACAAAAATCTTCATATAAGCAAAGCTGATGCCTCCTCAAAAAACTATACTAGCAACAAAAAATTAATAATAAATGAAATAAAGCTTTCAACAAGCATCACCTGGTAGCAACTAGCAAGACCAAATTAATTAGAACAAAAACAAAGATAAATCAAGAAACCTAGAAAATCAAAACATTTATATATATTGACATATATAAAGAAAGGGTTCTTGAATGAGAAAATATTCAAGAACATTAATTGAAATATAGTATATATATAAAACTATATCCATTATTTATTTCCATTTTTTTTTTTCACTACTTACACTAACTTCACATCATCTGTTGTGCAGAGGATTTGGACCAGTGTACACTTTCCTTTTCTCAGCTCCAAAAACTTCATCTCCATTAGGTGCAATAACAACATTCTCTTTATGAACCTTTTTGACACCATTAATATTATTGCTTAAGAAAAAGCCCGTTTTCTGCTTCGCGAATCGGCCTTCTGCAAAACACAGATTCATCTTTAACAGCAAAACCATGATAAGCAGCACAAGACCACAATGGAAACAAATTAATTTTCCCCCAAAGCCCATCAAGAAAAGATTTTTTATTTTTATTTTTTTTGGGTGTGTTGTGTTAATTGTCGTGTGTTGGTTTATGGTGTGGAAGTTTGAAGAGAGAGAAAGTCAAATGGGTTTTTTGCATGAAATTTTGCAGCCTTGTAATGAATGTGTGTGAAATTTTGGTGTGGTGTGCAAAAAAAATTTATTTTTCAGAGCTGCACAATTCCATTCACAGACACAAACAGAATTAGAGAGAAAAAGGGGAGAAAATTGGGGTGTTTGTGGGGGCCTTTAAAAGTGCTGACTTTCACGAAGGGGTCATCTAATTATTTTATTTTATTTTGGTTTAGTTGTTAT